TAAACTAAAATCGATAAAATAAACATGACATATATATATATATATATATATAGCTAATACATATAGTGGGAAACAAAACCGCGGGTCACCCACCTCCACAGCTTTGGAAAATCAAAGAATTATGCCCCTTCTAGAAACAACAACTATAGTACTACCCTTCATAAGTATTTTATTTTATTTTTTTGCTTTTCCATTTTTTTTTTTTGGGGTAAAAACTAAAAAATAATTCATGCTGCTTTTGTGAACATGAATTATATGTATATCCACCAATGGCATACAAGTCAGCTATTGGCCAATCATTTTCACTCATAATTGCATGAAAGAGATGATCAAGAGAGACTATCTAGGGGAGAGAAAAACAATGCGCGCGTGCTGTAGTACTCTTGCAAATGGTTTTTCTCTCTTTGTGTGTTCTCTCCCTTTTTTAAGTCCACGCACGCGGCATACACTTGCCCAAAATTTCATTTAGGATTGATTCAGACATTTAATAGACATTATTTATCTATACTAATTGTAATAATATATGAATATTATTGTGCAATTAATTATGAAGTCTTACACTTTGTCACCCCATATAGTATCAATGCGCCGTTACACGAGTGTCCCATTGTGATATAATTGTATACATAGATATATATTCCTTTCACTTTTGTTTAGGGTTGATAGATTGATATATGAGTGGGTGCATATATATACATACATATATATATATATGATTTTAAGGCCGACAATAAAAATTGTAACTTTTTTTATATTAATTTGTAATATTTTAGTGTAACATTGAGGCAAAGTACATATAATATGTTAGTAAGTTACATTTTATTAAGTGTTATACTTAAACAAAATCAGTGTTATACATATATACAAATAATATTACACAGGTGAAAAAAACGATCCATTTCTTTAATAAATGTATATCAATATTCTGTAAAGCACCGGACCAAAAACAAACTTATATATAGCAGTGTCATAATTTCACAGCGGTACTTTCATTCTACTACAAGAATCGTTTTACCCTTTTGGTGGCATGCATCACGCTAGATCGGCCATATATAGCCTTAGTCTCGAAGGTATTGACCAACCGCGCTCTCATAATTTCCTTTTGTGAAAAAGGCTTTGTCTGTATTATTTTACTTCAGGTGTCCTTATAACGTTCAACATCATCCTTTTGACTCTTCAACCGCGTTATCATTCCTTCCTTTGTTCCTCAGTAATTGATACTATAAGAACGAATATACACCACTCATTTAGTTCGCTGATTCGAATTTTTAATTCGAGTTGAGAGATGATTTTATGTGAAAATTTTTTATTGTAATAAAAAATTTAAATATGACTGTTTTTAAAATTTTTTTACTATAACAAAATTCAAATCGGTAAAATAAACGGTGCCATAATATATAATAGGCTTCGAATATAAATTGCACATGTATATATTCGACATCATGTATCAGCAAGAGAGAACATGAAAAGTTGTTTTTGTAATGTTTTAGTATTTAAAATTTAGAAGCCCGGGCTAATTGCCTTTTCAATATAACCATAAGTACTGCTTGTGTGCTATTACGGAATAAGCAGTAACAGAAACACCAACTTTGATTTAACCATTATATGCCAATTCACACGACAATAAATTATCATCCTTTTTATTAGTAGGTATAATATTTGATTAATATCAATTTTAGTATCAATCTTTAAAATACCTATATACAAAAAAATCACAACTTGTAAGCCCGTTCACTTTGCTGATTCGAGTTTGTAATTCGAGTTTATATGTGATTTTATGTGAGAGCTTTTTATTGTAGCAAAAAAGTTAGATGTGACTGTTTTTTAGAACTTTTTACTGTAATAAAACTCAAATTCTAAACTCAAATCGGTAAAATGAACGACAAAATTGTTGTCACTAACATTATTTATAAGCTTTGTGTACATTGTAAAAGTGTGTGGTGAAAGATGCATGGTGGCCCTCAAGTGGAGGGCCACGTGTCGAGAGTAGGTATTGCTATTCATTTCTATCAACCTTGTCAGGCTTTCTTTGGGTCACCAACACGCCCAATCCCTATATATAAAGACATAAAGATGTCCAAGATGATCAATTTAGCAAGCATTTTCCTTAAATATAAACCACAACAACACATTCAATAATATATTTTATGATCGACCAGTAATTTTAAAATATTTGGCAGTTAATTTAAATATATATATATAACTTTAGCTAATATTTTATTTCGTGGGGATCACATGTACTAAGTAATTTTCTCGATGTTTATTTATTTATTTATTTTTTACTTTAACACCAAATGTGACAGATCCGTCTCTCTCTCTCTGCTTTTTTTTTTTTTTAGATACGTCTTTCTATTCTTTTGTAAGTAAAACAGAAACGAAGAGGAGATAGTTGGATTTGTTCAGGAATACATTGAATTTTTGTTATTTTCTTTGAAATATGTTGAAATAACTGACTAGATTGCTCTATTTCTTGAAGTCAAAATAGATATCTATGAATTAGTGATATTCATGGTAAATAGTGGATATTGCTCATGCTAAAAAATTAAGAAAGACGTATCCTTTGGTTAGTTAATAAATTTTTTTTTTTTTTAAATTGACCCATAGAATGCTCATTTTATTTGCAATTTGCTTAAGTTGACCACGTTTACAAAATGTTGATACTTAAAATATCTGCTAGCTGGTAATTAAAATAGAAGTTATAGTGCTTACTATTATAACACCTAAAGATTACTGCCAATAATAGAGTCAAAAGGTCATCGACGATCGAGGCTTTTCTTGGTCCCACTTAATTTATGGTTGCCCCACTATAAGACTAACTTTCTGTGTCCAACTTGAATTTAAGAACTTTGAAAATTTGTAGTTTTCGATTCACAAGTCACAGGTCAAAATTGAACTCCTGTTTATGTACTAGCTTAGCAAGTTCCTTGAAGCTTTGATAAAAAAGTGTACATATATAATATAATATGAGTCTCAAATCTTATAAGTTATAAAGAATTACAATTACAGGCTCTTTAGTGGCGAATTAGTTTTGAATTAATAGGTGTGATAGTAATTAAAAAGTAATTAAACCTTATAAGTAATGCTAATTACTGTGTGGTAATTAAGCTTAACTAAAGAACGTCTATTACTAGTGGTATGTTCAACAATGTGAACTAAAATTACCTATTTAACCACACATTATGTTATATGATAATATATTTCTACGTGCAAAAGAATTAAGGTTAATCAAAGTCTTGTTCATATACTTGCGAAATTCTGAATTAAACGGTTCTTTTAATTTTTGTTTAAGGTGTAATTTAAGCTAAATTGAGCTCAATTATAAGGCTTGATCTCCCTATGACTCTCATGGAATTTACCCTTTTGGTTCAATTGGATTGATATATATATATATATATGTATATATATATATATATACACACACACACACACACCTGGTTGAAAGGAAGGTATCATGGAATTTTCCCTTTCTTCCTTTTGCACAGTTTGAGCTTAATTGGGAAATGAGATTTGGAACGTGAGGATGTACCTTAATGTCTACGGCAAAGGGGCTAATTGAGAATTTCTTAAGAAGATCCAAATATCTCCTTAGTCCCTAATCATTTGGACCCTTCTTCTAGAGACATACTCAAGTAATTTGGTCCTCTCTTACGGACCTTCTAGTAATCTCCATTCCGTCTTTTCCTTCCACACGTAGAACTAGCACAAAATATTTCATTAGAAAAATAAGATTTCCCAAAATTTAATTCACACTCGTTGGAGAACTCCACCACTCGCTTTTCCAAGGCGCGTGCTTTTCAATATCCTTTGCACAAGTGATACGTGTGGCATGGGATTTCACTTTTCAAGCAGAAAAATAAATAATATTTAAAGAAACACAAGTGCCCGTTTATGATTGATCGTAGAATTCTCCGCAGTATTAGTTTTGTAAGGCGTCTTTTGTAGAAAAATACATTTAATAACCATACACCATGATCGTTTTTTTTTTTTTTTTTTTTTTGATAATAACAATACACCATGATCGTTAGTACATAGTAAACAATGCTTATACTAATTTTGAGAAGTAAAATGTTTGTGTTTGTAAAGTGAATTAGTTGGACAAATATATATCTTAACTCAGGATGTTGAGCAATTCTGATGAGGGAAAGATGAGATATTTTAACTCAAAATAATCGAAGCTCGAAACAAAATGACAGTGAGAAGGAATCAATAATTTTTTAAATCAATACATATAGGTGTCTAGTTCAATATACAGACTTATGTACCATATTATCAGAAGATTCCTTACACAAATCAGTTACATCGCTAGTTTTTAAAACGAAAGAGCATGGTCTTTAAGGGATTTGCACACAAGAGAATTCTAACCTTAGGCTTGGGAAGAAGTACACCTCCAAAACCAAGTCTTTTTGAGCTAACCCGTTAAGGTTAGAAGCAATCATATGTTAAACCCTAACATATGAGACTAACCTAAGGGGACGTTTATTTCATGTATTCGTCTCTGATTCTGAATCATGATTCATGGTTCTCTACAGTATTTTTCTCTCATAAAAAATACACGTAAAACGATAATAGTTCTGAATCAAGATTCTGAATCAATGAACTAAACGTCCTCTAACTTACTGTGAGATAGAAGTTTGTGTCTCGACTGTCCCAAATAGGACACATAGAATTCCTCTTTTTACAGCACAACCAAAAGTAAATTTTATTTCCTTTTTCCTTCAAGCTTACACTAAAGGAATATTATTATTGGCCCCAACACCAATTCTTCCTCTTGCTTTAGGGCGTTTTATGCTGAAGCTTGAAAAGCACGCGCTAGAGCTGAGAGTCTTACTCAACCCACCTCACTTCGTTATTATCAGCTTAATTTTTGATTAATAAATTATTATTTTTTTGCCCTTTATATACCTCCACACCCTCTCTCATTCTCACCATAGAAACCAAAACCCTAGTAACTCCTCTCTCTCTCTCTCTCTCTCTCCCTCTCCTCTCTCTCTAAACAAAAACAAAGCGAAGCAAAAACTCTCTCTAAAAATAACTAAAAAATGGAAATAGAGCCAAGACCTTCGGTGGTGGCAAAGAAGCTGTGGAACATTGTAAGAATAGTGTTGATCATGATGAGGAAAGGCCTGTCCAAGAGCAAGTTAATGGTGGACTTCCACTTGCTCCTCAAGCGAGGGAAGCTCGCCGGCAAAGCCATGGCGGAGAACTTCATCCTCCACCACTACTCCGCCTTCAGCTGCCGCTCGAACGACGCCGTCTCATTCATCTCCCCGAGGGAGTACGAGTTCAGCTGCAGCAACAGCCCCGCCAATTTCAATCCTTTCCACTTCAACAAGCGCAACAAACACCACCACCACCACCACAACAATTATAACCTGTCCAGATCTTACAATTACGACGACGTTTCGAGCACGGTCACCGCGGTCCAGAAGGTTCTGGAAATGTACTTGAGCAACAACAACAGCACCAATCACGGCAATTATCATCTCGGAGGCGATCAGACGGTGGAGGCCTCGCCGCTGGTGATGCTCCCGGGGTTCGGGAAGAGCCCGTTGGTGAGGCAGTTGAGAATAACCGACTCGCCGTTCCCGTTGAAGGATGAAGGAGGGGACAACCAGGTGGATGTCAAGGCTGAGGATTTCATTAACAAGTTTTACAAGAACCTCAAGTTGCAGAAGAAAATGTCCTACCTCGAGTCTCCATATCGATCATGAGAATATATATTTTGGTTGAAGATGAGTCTTGTTTTTACGAAGATTATTGTGAAATGGGGTTTCCATGTGTTTCAACTACTGGATAAAGGTTTGCCACAATATGCCCGATCCGATCACCTTGAGTAATCCATGGTTTCATGATTTTTTTTTTTTTTTTTGCCATATATACAAGATCACATATATCTTTCAAAAGTCACATATATGTATACTCGACCAAAGTATATATATTCACATGGCCATGTAAATTACCCTAGTATACATATTTTTCTAATATATATATGGCACTTCTTTTTCCCCTGGTTTACTTAACGTGATGATCAAGGTATATCAATAGCTATGCTTTTGGATTCAACTACAAGCTGAGGACTCTTGTGAACAAGTACTTTTGTTTTTGGGTTTTTATGTAATTTCGTTAACTTTGTTGTATTTCTGTTAAAGCCCCATGCATGTTGATAATAAAAGAGAAAAAAAAAAGGAAGAGAAAAGGCTATTACGAATATATGTATTATATATATATATATATATATATATATATGGTCTCTTCTTTTGATAAAGCCTGCAAAGGTTCTACCGAGTGCGACTAATTTGCATGGTTAAAGGTGATTTAAAGAGAGCGTTATGTTCGGTTCGTGCGTGAAAATTTTTAATGAATTTGCCTTTCGAGGTTGGTGGGTTTAGGCTTTGGATTTATTAGGTTTGAAGGCTTTGTCTGTATAGTGGTCTCTTCCTTGATAGTGATATTAGTGGTTCTTGTTTGTCTTTGCTTATAAGGCGGTCATGACTCTGCCCTAAACGACACACAGGAAAGAAAAAAAAAAAAAAAAAAAAAAAAAAAAGAAGATGAGAAGCAATAACCTTTTCTTCATTTCTATTGTCTTCTTTCTTATTATACCGTTAGAATTTTGGATCTGGCTATTAGCTTTATATCCAGCAACTTCCAGCTGTTATAGTTTATAGAGAACAAATATTGGGTCATATTTCTTCATCACTTTGGGCAATAATATTGCATGTAACGTATCTTTCTATTGTTAATTATTTCTTTTTTTTTAAAAAAAAATTGTGTGATAGATTGCTAGTCACTCTAAGGAAAAATATCTTGTTGGAAAATTTTTCTAAGACGGACGTCCTTGTTTTGTATAATTATTCTTTAGTTAATTATTACACTTCCGTAAAGCGCATTAATTATAGACCCAATTTGTTGCCATTGTGGCCCTAATGTAAAACTGCCGTGCGGACAGCGTTGAAAATGACTCATTGCCTGGAATATAAACCCTAGAGACTAATATAATTGGTCTATATATATATATATATATATATATATATAATAAGTAATCATGGTTATATATATAGTTTGGACAAGGATATACACATTTATTTTTTGAAATAAATGTGTACATGATATGTAACGCCCATCTAACTTTAACCATATTAGGTGATGTTACATAATACGTATTTGAAACTAATCATGGTTATATATAGCTAGTATTTGAACGAAGGATATACATTCATTTTTTCAAAAAACACGTACATAATACGTCTTTGAAACTAATCATGTTTATAGTTTGAACAAAGAAATCTTCTCCTTAAAATGCTCCTTAATTTGTTTATATTTGAAACTACTATATATATATATATGTATAAATGTCATGTCAAAATTGCAGACATATATACGTACATGCACCATGAAGATGAAAGCGACCAAAACATGATATGCTGCAATATATCGTAATTTCATTATGATAAATCTTTTAAGCTATAGTAATGTAAATCTTTTGTCATCCGTATTCGATCTTTACAAATATATGCTCAAGTTCATGAGATCCATACGGTTTATTTCTAGACTTGCTACGTATACTTGTATCTTGTAAATGCAAATTTGTACATGCAATATCGTTATGTGCTTATCAAGAGCATAATTATGATCAATTCTGGTGATACATGTCATATATATATATATATATATATATATATATATATATATATGTATGTATGTACAATAACGATTATTCAAAGAGGTTATAATTGATTAAATAGTATGTGAACACACATACATTTTAATCAATTTTATATAAATTTTTTGTTCTTGAACTTTGTTGTAATTGGTAGTCTTCATACTAGTACGTATTCTGCTTTCATCCAAAGTAAAAAATTTTAAGTGCCCTTTCAGGGAAAAATAATTAAAATTATAAGGAAATATTAATATTTATATAGGAGGTCAATCTTTCATTAATTTTTTTCTTACTTTTTATATCTAAAGGAGACTTGGAGTGAAACAAACAGTTGAAATCAAGTAAAAGTGTGTAAACCTGTAATTAACTCAGGCAGTTGCTTACTCAAATGGATAAAAAAGGCACCAACTAACTGATTGAACAAAAGTTAGAATTCTACGATTTTGGAATCTCCTTTTTCCTTTTATTAATTAACCAATTGCTTAATTTTGTGCTTTCTTAAAGATCAACTCCTTGCTAATTAACAGTTCAAATATATATATCTAGGATATATATATATATATATATATATGTATATTAGTATCATTGGTTATATGTACCCTTTTCAATCGTTCTTATCAACAACGACATGATTTAATTGCTAAAATTTCTTCTTTTCCTATTATCCCAATCTATCAGGTTCAGACTTCGTAATATATACATATATTGTGGATGCTATATATTGTGTGTGAAAATCATAAAGCAATTATACATACATATATATATATATATATATATATATATATTCAATAATATTGTTGGCTGGCTAGACCTTTGAAGGGGGAAAAGGAAAAAGGTTACTGAGAAAAGGACCCTAATAAAAGAGTGGGTGAGAGATTGTGATGTGTGTAGTCCCCTATGATTGAAGATGAGTCTCTCTCAAGCACTAAAGACTCTCTCTCTCTCTCTCTCTCTCTCTCCATACGCTTTGAACAATGAAAGGCTAGCCGGCTGGTCAATTAGCTTTTATTATTGTTGGTGGCAGATCTCAAACACTTAACACTTGTACTCTCTCTCTCTCTCTCTCTCTCTCTCTCTCTCTCTCTCTCACATACACAATAGTGATCATAACATACTTTAGTTTCATGCTTATCTTGCAAAGAAAGGTCATATATAGATCATCATGCCAAAACACTATACATATATTTTGTGGCTATCACTTTTTGTCAAGATCTATTTTCTATTTTTTTCCACAAATATTGTTAAAGAACAAGCAATTGTTGCACTGATACACATGCCTCTGCATCATTAATTGATTTCGACGGTTTGATTTTGACAGAAAGTCATATAAGGTGTCACATAATTTGATTCAACCGTCTGCGTTCAATTATAATCAGCGGTAGCTAGCTGCAAATATATATTGAGCCTTTCTTTTCAGTTTATTAATATTTAATGTCCCCATTCTTATGGGAATTCTTTTCTGTGCATATGAAAATTCTAGATTCTTGAATATTCTCATGAAAACCCAACATAGAAAATATATATATAATACCATCCATAGAAAACTAAACGCACGTCTCTACATATGTGTGTGTATGTATGTATGTATCTATGTATCTATATATGTATATCATGATATTATATATGTGCTTTGATTTGCTTTTTCCATATATGCAGGACAAAAACAAAAAGGATCTCCATTAGTTCTTATATGACTCATTCTTGGTACATAATGGAGCTAAAAGATTTAAGCATTATATTTTCTTTTTTAAAGCAACTGAATAATAACAAAATGGTCCATATGTATATGCACTTCCCATAAAAGCTCTAATCTAATTGAAAATTTTTAATTTGCTTCTTATTTAATTATATATGCTTTTAGCACTCTAACATTCATATATGTAACCAATCAACTTTTTGAGGGGGATCTAACTAGTTCATCAGTTTGCATGTACAAATGGATAAGAAAGATTATATATATATATATATAAGTATTAAAATTATTTCCCTATTTATAATTCGCTAAAGGATGTTGAAGAGTGTCGGGATGTTCCATGGGACCTAATTGGTGCAATATATAAAGATTGATTTGTCTACTAGCTCCTGATTTTTATTTAAAAATAATAAAATAACAATAATAATATATAATAATAAAAAAGAGTTAGCTACTCCTGAAAAGCTTGCGGGGGTGGAGCCACAAATTAAAAAAGTTGAAGTCCTTCGAGAAAAAAATGAAAGAAAGAAGAGAGAGAAGAAGAAAAGAAGATTAGTTTTTACTTTGTTAGGTGGGAGAAAAAAGGAGTCTGTCTGAATGAAACTGTGAAGTTTTTGGACACTTAACCTAAATTTGAGCTCAATTATTGCAAGAATCCATAACCTCCAATTCAAACTAGAAGTGCTTAACACTGTGAAATCTTACTATTTCGATGATAACAACAACACCACTGTGAAATCTATGATTATTATTATTAATTTTTTAAAGAAAAGAAACCTCTATCTCAAACGACAGGGCAATTTTCAACTTTCCAAGTCTTGAAGTAGCATATGTAATTAGTGATCAATTGGATGGAGATTATCCCTTTCCTTAGGAAATTTAATCTCAGTATGTGACAGATATATATATATATATATATATATATAACTATGTGATTTGACCATTGGGTTAGGTTAATTGTATTTCAATTACCTTAGTTGCACCTGCTGGGATTCATAAGCGAGTTCTATAAATATAAGAATTATGAACGAGACATTTTATCTGCATTCTTGATCTTTATTGTTTTGAAGACTTCTTTTGCAAAATTGATTGTGTTGTCTTAAATCTCTATTTTCGGATTGTTGTTTCTTTCCAAGTAAAATGAATAATAAGTGACATTCTACCTAAGAAAGTTCTGAAAGAAAAAGTCAAGTCAATAAATCAATATTGTTTGTTATATGTTTGCTAAATACGGGCTATCAATTAAATATACACAAATAATTGTTTTTTCCTTTTTCTTTTTTGTTTATGTGTGGAGCATAATCATACATACCCGGTTCTGTTCACAATTTGAATCACAACATAAATTTTTTTCCTATAGTATTCTCTCACAAAAATCAAATTCAACTTTTTTGTTACAATATTTTTTCTCACATAAACTCACTTTTCAATTTAAGTTATCAACTCGAACCGATAAAGAGAACGAGCTAAATTGTAAATACACTGTTAAGTAGTCAAAGTAAGAAAAGAGATTAGCTATATATGCACAACCTCGTGAGGCGACTGGTTGGGTTCGTGAGGGACGGGCGACGTGTTTTGGCGCGCACTTTAGGGGGGGACGGGGTGGGGGTGTGTGGTGGTTCAGCGAAAGAGTACTTGCAACGATGGCTAGGAACCTGACGCCCACATTTTGGCCAATTTTCATGTCAATATTTATTACAACTTTTAGTCCTTTTTTGCACCCTTTTAAAGAGTTCAGGGAGCTTTTAATAGTGAGTAAAAGAAAAAACTGAGGATCAAGTCGCAACTTCATATATAGTTCAAGGACCAAATAGACAATTTACTCTAAAAAGATTCTCACACAAATTTAAAATTGAAGTAAACTAGTGGTTTAAACCAATGGATCTCGTCATACGGAGGGAGATCGACATTAACATCATGTGAAAGGAAGAGATTAACGACGCATAGTGGAAAAGGAGAATTGGCGCGACCTTATTAGAGAGGCGAAAACACGTAGATTGGCCAACAATACGGAGATGATTGATGCTAGTGACGAGAAGAGAGAAGAAAGAAAAGAAAGAGAGGGGTATGATGGAGATATTGCCTCATTTTTTTCGCTGATTCGAGTTTAAAATTTAAGTTTTACTATAGTAAAAAGCTCTCAGAAACAGTCACATTTAACTTTTTTATTACAGTAAAAAACTCTCACATAACATCACATCTCAACTCAAATTAAAAACTCGAATTAGTGAATCGAATGGACTAGTCTTTTTTTTACTCACTCACTTGAAGTGGATGTTGCAAAAATTTCCTACAAAAATGGTACATATGAATACATACATATCTCATTTCTATTCCACAAACACCCAACATTTGATTTCGAGTCAGTTTACCCCAGGGTTTAGGCCCATACTTAAACCCAAGAAAAATTTAAACGTAAAAGATAGTCTCACGAGTTAATGTAGAAAAATAACAAAGGATCCGTTTAGTTCATCTGTTTAAACTATTGATTCTAAATTTTGATATTTGAAATGTAAATTTTTTGTGATAGAAAAATACTGTAGCAGAATCAAAATCATGAGTTTAAACGCAACAAACAAACGAGCTCAAAAAGTTTGAAATATTTTTTTTAAACAAATTAAGTTTATTATAAAATTACTATGTAATTATGTATCGTAAAATGTTACATTCATTATACCGGTTACTTCAAAATTATGTTGTTTTTCAAATAATGTTTTAAAAAATTGTTGCATTTTTTCCATAAAAAAATTCTTGTATTTCAATTTCACTGTTCTGAACATGCCATGTGATTTTTTTCCAGAGAAATCGTAATAAATAACAGTTATTAAAAACTATTGTTGTGTTTGGTGTTGTTTTTATTTTTGTTTTTCACATTTTTCAAGAAAGAAAAATGAAAACGGGAGAGAATCGGCGTTTGACACAATTAAAGACAAAAAACAGAAATGAAAACGATTTTTTAGTTTAGTGTAAAATAAGAGAGAAATGAAAAATGATTTTTAGTCGTTTTTCATTTTTTGTTTCCGTTTTTTCCTCTCTCAAGTAGATAGAGACATTAATAGATTTTTTTATATTGAAAACAATCTCTTGATAAAACTACTAAACGCATTTTCAAAAATGAATTATGTCTGAAATTGAAAACGTTTTCATTTCCCTTTTCATATAAAAAATAAAATCATTTTAGAACGAGTTCCAAACGCTCCCTAATTGTAGTTAGTTGGTACACTTTTTCAAAAATGAGGTAAATGCCTATTTTTGAAAATGAAATGTACAATTCCAAAAATGCCCTTGTCATCTTCTTCGCGTGTTTCTTCTTTCCCTTCTCTTCTTCTCTGTGCCCTCTGGGCCTTGCCTTCTCAACCCTTTCAAGGGCCTTTGCTTCATATCGACATGACAATGGGCTTCGCGTTGCCCCTCTCAGGTCAGTGCTCTTCTGGGCCAGAAAAGCCTATTAACCAAATTGGGCTGTCCAAAAAATGCTCGTTGGTGCATAGACCGTGGCCGCACCGGAACATTTCCCAGTTTTTTTCTTCATCTTCACTCCGTCGTCGTTTTCGCAACACAAACTCTCTTTAACTATCGATTGCGTTGGAGAATTTCAGAACAGAACGCATCAAAAGTTTCGTTTACTGCAAAAACCAGGAGATCACAATTACAAAAAGAAAAAAAAAGGCGTTTATTGAACGAATTCTCATTTCGTCTGAGATCAATATTTCATCAATTCGCTCTCGGTCGGACCTCGAAAACGGCGTCGTTATGGAAGCTTAGCTCTGTTTGCTGATCGATCTCTGAGGCACAGTTTTTCCAGATCCGAATCCCTCTTTGCGGAATGGCTTCGTGGCTCAAAGCTGCTGAAGGTCCGAATCTAGCTTTCATTTCTATGTTTTTTGTTTCTTGTTTTGTTTTGTGTTTGTTTTGTTTTATGTTTCGATTTTCGTTTGTGTTCTGATAATGTGTTTGGGGTCTGATCCCGAGTTTCTGTGTGAATAAATTTGTTATCTTGAATTTCTTTGTGAAGAATGAGCTTGGAGAAATATGTTGTTTTGGTGTAGAGTGTGGGGAAAAGTAGGTTGAGAATGCTCAATTGGGTTTGAATTTGTTTGCATTTGCTATGATGGGAGCTACTTAATTTCACAAATCTGCAATTAAAATTTGTATCTTTTGATACTGATTAGATGCCTTTTCAGGGGGAATAGAGTGGAGTTTAAACTCTAGACATAAATATTGGAGGAAGGATTGTGAATATACCGTTAGGCTAAACTTGCACCCACAATAGACGCCTTAGCATTTACTACTGATAGCAATAAAATATATAGGCAAATAAACACACATAAGATTTGTAGTGGTTCACTACTTCAATGGGAGAGTTACATTCACTTCCTACTGCCGCAGAATTTCACTATAATGAAGATCGATGCGTGTCTAACTCCGCATTAGGTCAACTCACACACTCGACATAGTTGAGTCTGAAATGGAAGTTTCTCTGGCATCAAGTTGGTTTTGTATTGTAATAATGAATTTTTTACACCACTTCGAGATTGAACTGGACCTAAAATTCGGTTGGCACGGTGTGATTGGTTTTATAACAGCAAGTTCAGGATGGATTTTATTTTATTTTTTATTTTATTTTTATTTTTTTGGTGAGATCAAACAAATTTAATTTGCCTTGGTTAGAAGCCCAGTTGATGCATTTGCTGGAGAAGTTACATTTTGTAACCAGTGTAAAAGTTTGAGTCCAATGTGGTTTTCACCGTGCAATTTGGATAGCTAAGTGAGAAGAGAACCATTGACAGATTCCCAGTAGTTTAGTTTCAGTTTGTATGGAGCAAGTGATGGATGGATGCATATCAGATCATAAATAAAATTTTTAGTACAGTGCCTTTATAGTGGAGGAGCCTTCTTTTAAGGCATTTAATACTGATATTTTTAACCAGAATTAGGCCAAATACTTGCACTTTTTTTTAACTTCTCTTTTAATTAAGGTTCCTAAATTTGTTTGCAAGGTAAACAGGTGGCCATCATCTTGTTCTTATTTTATGATGCTAAATTACCTTAGTTTTGCTTTTCATTATTGTTTACATGTTCCCCGTAGCAGCCCCTGATTCAGAATCCCTATTCCATCATATCCACTTCCTGAACCTTCGATTTAAAATAGTTTAACACGTGAAAACTGATTTTTTTTTCCCCTTCTCTTTTGTGTTTAGATTTATTTGAGGTTGTAGATAGAAGAGCAAAGCTAGTTGTCAGTGAGTTGGCAGATGAGCAGCCTGAATCTCAATCTTCAGGTACTGCTTTTGACTATAATGTTGGTATCTCTGTCATAGTTTGCATAAACATGCTTCGTCGGATGAATATACATGGGTTTTGATTAGTTTTCCATGAATTTAGCAATTACTTATATTATACTTGAAAATGTTGTTAACAGCCTGACAGTTTTAGTAATGTTTGCCTTTTGAGAATGGGTATAATATGCTACTGAATGTTACTCATCTGCATCTTCTTGAACCTTTGCGAATTACTTTTTGCTAATAACTGACACTTTAAAAACTCTATTGAAATAGGATCTGTACTTTTTTCAGGTATAGTTAGAAATTTGAAAAATGTGTTGAAGTTGTAATTTAAAACGGGATCATATTGAGGTATGAACTTCTAGAAGAAGGCCATTAAAAAATGGAAAATGAAACTCATCATGAAAAAAAAAAAAATTCACGTCACATCATAAAATGAAACTGTAACTTGTTAGGGGTAAATAAGCTCGGACAAAACAAAAGTTTACTTCTATGGAACTCATTATTTTGACAAATCTGTGTTCATGATAAAATTCTTTCATGATGTGCATCATTGCTCTTAAAATTAGTTGTAATATACTCAGTGCTCTCAAGTTTTCTTAATGAGCGTATCTATTGCTCATTATTATTTCTACTCTTCCTTTCTGGGATAACTTAGCTTCTAATGGGCAAGGATCACAAGCAAAGAGAACAAGGCCAAAGACAAAGGTATTTGCCTCTTTAGCTGTCCTATTTCTACGTATATGTACAGACACATACAAATGCACACTTTCTTTTATTAAAAAAAAAAAAAAAAAAAAACTATTGGCATGTCTATTAACTATGTCTCACACCTTGGATGATTTCAGGTTCAAAAGGGACAGTCAGCTGATGGGACTTCCAAAACGAGTGATGACGTATGTGAACAGACTAGCCTTACACCGCCAGTAAATGTAACACCTGAAAAAGATATGGATACCCTTCTGAATAAAAATGACGGGACCCCTTCTGGCAAGTCTGTGGTCCAAACAACCAACGAGCAGCAAGAAAATTTTAAAAATGATTCCCCAATGTTAGGCATTCCTATAACAGAAGCCTTAGCAAATGATGTCAATAAAAATGATTCTGGTCTTGTGGAAGTGCCAGTGACTGTTACTGATAGGGAAGATGTCGCATCAACTCCAAATGGTGAGCTTCTCAATGAGAGCACCTCAGAAGTTCGTGAAGAAAATTCCTCACCACTACTTGCCAAACAAGTTGAGATTGTGAGTAAACATCACCCAGTGGAGGATGATTCTGTTACCAAATCGGGAAGTTTTGATGTTCCCCCCAAGACTGACCAAGAGAATCCTCAGTCTGAGAACACTGAAGCACCAAATAATAGTGAAACTCAATCCAAAGCTGCTGATGTCAAGGTTGAACCTCTTAACAATCAAAAGAAGCAACAGGAGCAAAAAGCTGATTCAGCTCCCAAGAAAGTACAGGAACAACTTGATGAGGTTAAGCATCTGACATTGGGGGGAGATCTCTCGTACTCTAATTGATATTAACTTCAATATATATGTTTCAACTACTACTACGGGTTTTCATTCAAGATCCTTCATAATGCAGGCTCAAGGACTGCTTAAAACTGCAATTTCAACCGGTCAGTCTAAAGAGGCAAGGTTGGCCAGGGTAAGCTATAATGATACGATTGCTATTTTTCCTCTTTGATCAAGTGTTGGCTCCTTCTGTTTCTATGTTAAAATTATTAGCTATTAAAAGTATTTTGCTGAACGTAGGTAGGATAGTCTTTTCTAAAGACAAGCCAAAGAGCACTTCTATTCCTTTCTGATGATCTTACTCATCAGACAACTTCAGTTTGCATGTTTGTTTATTACATATCACTGTTAGGTTTGTGCTGGACTTTCATCGCGACTTCAAGAATACAAAGCTGAAAATGCACAGCTGGAGGAACTTCTCGTTGCAGAGGTGAACAATTCTCCTGTTTAGTAAGTTATTTAGATTTCTATGGTTTCACATATTAAATGTTTTTTTTTCTTTTGTTTTTTTTTTTTTGTTTGACAGAGAGAGCTTAGTAAATCATATGAGTCACGCATAAAGCAACTACAACAAGACTTGTCAGAATCCAAGACTGAGGTCACAAGAGTAGAATCAAACATGTCTGAGGCCTTGGCAGCAAAGAATTCCGAAATTGAGGCTCTTGTCAGTTCCATGGATGCACTTAAGAAACAGGCTGCTTTATCTGAAGGACATCTGGCTTCACTGCAGGTCAAATACTCTTCCATTCTTTCTCCCATTTCTCCCTGTCATGTCAATTTGTTTTCACGGAACAGATGGGTCATATTGCTCTTGACCATGAAGTTTTTATGTCATGAGGTTTTGACAACAATCTTATTATGTTTACCAGGCAAACATGGAGTCTATCATGAGAAATAGGGAGCTTACGGAAACGAGAATGATGCAGGTCAGTGTGATTCGTCCATTCTCATGGAACACTTGTGTTGTACACTTATACTGTTTCTATTGTTAGGCTCTACGTGAGGAGCTGGCTTCTGCAGAACGGAGAGCAGAAGAAGAGCGGGCAGCACATAATGCTACAAAAATGGTTTATACCAAGAATAATTTCTATTTTAGACTTATTTACTTATCCCATCTATTGTGTCCTTTCACTCGTTTTCTTGATTATAATCATTTCTATGTGCTAAAATAGGCCTCTATGGAAAGGGAAGTGGAACTGGAACATAGAGCCATAGAGGCTTCAACGGCCCTTGCAAGGATACAGGTAATGTAAGGAATCTCCATATTTGCTACCAATTGCCATGATAAAATCAAGAACCAGTTAATGTTGTGCTACTACGTATTTATTTGCTGTGTTACTCAGAGAGTAGCGGACGAGAGGACGGCAAAGGCAGCAGAGCTTGAGCAGAAGGTGGCACTGCTTGAGGTAGTCCGAAACTCTTTTTTAATTCTTGTATTTTCTGTATTCCTTTTCCATGATTAAATTAATGTTCTAGACTTCTTGGGTGATAGCAATATATATCCTCAGGTAGAATGTGCAAACTTGAATCAAGAGCTGCGAGATATGGAAGCTCGTGTTCGGCGTGGACAAAAAAAGTCTCCAGAAGAGGCAAACCAAGCGATTCAGGTATACTTTTTAAATTCCTGACTTGTAGAATTTAGGTTTATTCTGGCATGTGTAATTACTCTGTAGTAGCCATTGGCTATGGCCTATTAATTTCTTGAAAGCGACTTTAATCCTTTATTTTTTCTTCGTATTTAGCCCTGTTTAAGGAGAATTGTTAATCTATTTCAGGATAATTATATGGAACTAGATACAGGATTTCTCTATTACATAGTAAAAAAGTGCTTTATAAACATTATAGCAGTTGAACCTCTCCTAATCCTTTAGCAGTAGGAGTAATAAATAGTTGTCATTTCCATATCACTTACCTATAGCATATTACTTAGATTCAGGCCTGGCAACAAGAAGTGGAACGTGCTCGACAGGGTCAAAGGGATGCTGAGAGCAAGCTTTCTTCTTTAGAGGTAAGGCTTTCTCCTCGTCTCACCCAAACCAATGTTCTTATAATATCTAAGCAACTCTCTCTTGATAAAGTTTCCTCTCTAATTATCTTTTCCCTTTCTCTATCATTGCTTGATATGTGATTTTAGGCTGAAGTGCAAAAAATGAGAGTTGAAATGGCTGCCATGAAGAGGGATGCTGAGCATTACTCACGTCAGGTAATCTCTTTGATTATCCAGCTTTTTACTTTTCTTTTTCTGAGATGTTCCGCAAGAGTTCTGTTATATTTATTAATCTTATTTTCATTTTATACAGTCAATCTTCTAATACCATGCATCAAATTTTTAAGGTTTGCACGGGAGCAGCATAATCTTCACACTAATTTAAGCATTTAACAAAAAGTTATTAGTTTAGTTCATCGTGCCATATTTCTATGTTTGTACCTTAAAATATGAGCTCTTGGGAACTGATTTCTTTTTCTTTTTCTTTTAAATCTCCTGGTTTATATCTTTATTTTTCATAATTTAATGAATCGTGTGCAATGTATTGAGAACATCATCTTATTTATTGGGATTCTAATTTGCAGGAGCACATGGAACTAGAGAAACGCTACCGTGAACTAACTGATTTGTTGGTAAAATTGGTCAATGAATACTTATTTTACATTGTATGACGTCCAAAACACATTCGTGACTGAGTTCTTGTCTATAATTGTATCTATTATTTAGTACTACAAGCAAACACAGTTGGAAACCATGGCTAGTGAGAAAGCTGCAGCAGAATTTCACTTGGAGAAGGAGTTGAAGCGTCTTCATGAAGCGCAGGTCTGCTTTTGGGTGTTCTAAGTTGCTCGGTTACTATTTACATATATTACCGATTCCACTTTCACTACCAAAAGTATTATTGGTTTTGATGGAAATTCACGGTGATATTAAACAGGCAGAGGCAGAAAGAAGTAGAGTTTCTCGCCGGGCATCATCATCTTGGGAAGAAGATACTGAAATGAAGACACTTGAGTATGTTCAATTCTTTAATGGTTGCATAAAAGACTTTAATATACTTCCTCCCATATGTGTAACATACTATGTATTGATTTCTGCATGCGTACGAGGCTCTTATATATAACAAGTTGATTTTTAGTTAAGAGTGGGTATATATAACTGCTAATGGATGCTTGTTTTTTTTTTGGTTTTGGCCCTTCTTGTCTTGGCAATGCATTTTAAAGCTTTAATTCCTTGTCACCGCTGGTACAGTCTTGTCTCATGGAAATTTTCCTACCTTTCTTTAGTTGATTTTTATTTATCTTCTTCTTAATCTTTGATATCTTTCACGAAAAGTACATATTTCCTCGTTACTAGTTTTTATCGGACTCATTTTCCCATCTTTACATCTTCATTTGACTGCTCTCAAGTCTCAATATGCTTACTCTACTAAGGACAATACGTGTATTCTAGTCCATTCATCGAATAAATTCCCTCAATTATGTTGATACGATGCATGATAATTGCAGGACACTTCCTTTGCATCATCGTCACATGGCGGCGGCAAGTATGCAGGTGTCACTATACTCATATCCTAAAAGCTCTGCTTTATCAATAAATAAATAAAAATAAGAAGACGCTGTGAGGGCACTCCTTTCTTCAGATTAATGTGTGCTTCACCTTTCGACTGCAGTTGCAGAAGGCAGCGAAGCTATTGGATTCGGGAGCCGTCAGGGCTACAAGATTTCTTTGGCGGTATCCCACAGCCCGAGTTATACTGCTTTTCTACTTGGTAAAAACAGTTTAACACGTACTTTGAGAGACTCTGGTTAAATAACAGTAACGTGGAATACTATAGATAACGTGATAACTGTTTGATATCTTCTACAGGTATTCGTACATCTCTTCTTAATGTATCTATTGCATAGACTTCAGGTACATATTTATATCATCTTTACTATTTGTTTTTTCTCTTTTCTGGTAGAAAGATCATTTTGATTATTGCTACGAGGCAGATATTTACAGCGTTCTTCGTCTTGGGCAAGATAACTAATAAATTCATTCATGATCTTTTGATTATTGCTACGAGGCAGATATTTACCGTGTTCTTGGTCTTGGGCAAGATAACTAATAAATTCAATTCATTTTTTTTTTTTTCAAATTCTCAGTACCTACTTTTAGAGTTAGGAGATGTGTGGGAGATATGTGTGTAATTGTGGTACACATGTTTTAGGAGGGGCTGTCGATATAAAAGACCTAAGAAAAAGAAGTTAGAGAGATTACAAGATATAAGACTGTAGAATCTTATTCTATAATGCAGACATTACCGTGAAGAAAATAGTATCCATTAAAATGCTTTACATCCTTTTGATTTCTGACATAAAATTTTGATTTGAAGAAATATCCAAGTACAACCGTAAAGTGTTCTTGAAGGGACATACATGGACGGTTAAGTCAAATTTGTCATTCATATGCAGGAGCAAGCAGATGATTTATCTGCCAGCGAAGTTGCGAAGTCCATGGGACTTTCCAACCCGACCTTACCATGATTGAGTAGCTGCTCTCAAACTGTGCCACACACAATTTTTGCGAGCCAGAAATTCCTTGAATATGATGCAGTTATAAGCAATAAAAGAGTAGAAGTTCATCTTTCACTGAATGAAAGGATTTATGTGGTGAAAGCCAATTCTGAAGAAACGGCTGCATACCGGAAATGGGAAACTGGGGGTTTCACTGAAGGTACCCATTCTGTTTTTGGGGCTCGAGGAATTGCAAGATATTGATGTATGATACCAAAAGTATAACACTGCCATGTCTTTTGAGTCTTTGACCCTAATGCTTATAAAAAGTATTGGGTATTTCTTGAAGACCCAAACTTGCCTTTGGCGCAGCAGATTTGGACTTTCTGTGTTTTTAGTCGGCCAATTGCCTATTCTTCTTGTTTTTGCATTTTGTTCAGAAATCACTTATTGACAAGCTTTTACCTCTGAAAAACGGTATGCTTATGTAAAGTCATCATGACTGAGGTTCATACTTAATGAAATGTGAAAATTCATCGAATTGTAAACAGTTGAGGAGCTGAATTCACTTGGAGTGGAGCCAAAATAGTGCTGTCAAAATTTCACTATTGAACTTATCCTATCGATAGGATATTGTTTCGTATCCTCAAATCTTTTATGAGATTCTGTCAATTGTAATATATACATATATATATATATATATTGTAGGCCCTACACAGTAGACCTTTCTATCTTCAAATTTCATCTAGACCTGGCTAAGTACATATGAAACAAGTGGACCGATAATGGCAGCCTTCTGTGAAAGTTTCTTCTTTTCTCTTTTCTTTCTTTCTTTCTTTCTTCTTTTCTCTTTGTTTCTTTCTTTCTTTCTTTCTTCTTTTCTCTTTGTTTCTTTGTTTCTTTGTTTCTTTCTTCTTTTCTCTTTGTTTCTTTGTTTGTTTGTTTCTTTCTTTCTTTCTTTCCTTCCTTCGAGAATTGATTGCCTTAACCAGGAAGAAAACCATCTTTTCTTTCTTCCTTTTTTTCCTTCGAACCAGGAAGAAAACCAATACTTTTTAGTGAGAAGGCATCATTGGCACAGAAATTTCTTTGGATAGATGGAAAGTGAGGTGTTTGAGAATCTTTCTTTTCCGTTCAATCAAAAAAGCAACTAGAAAATGATAGCACCATGATATAGAAGTGAGATTTTTCCTTGTAAAAGAAAAAAAAGTGAAATTAGGAATTGTGGAGTCCACTTATTTGGGTATTGCATTTGCATGTAGATTAGCCGAGTTTTAATTATAGGAAAACTAGTGCTGAAATTTTAGACAGACCGCTCGCAATTGTATGAAAATACTGAGTTTTTGCCTGAAGTCTGACCCGACCCGCCCAAAAATTTTGGGCCGCCCGCTTGAGCCTGAAAAGGCCTGTGAACGGGCCGCGGGCTACTATTGGGCTGCCCGAGCCCGGCCGGACAGTCCAAGCCCGCCCAAAATACTCAATTTTTTTTTTTATATTTTTTAATCTTTATAATTATTAAGTTATTTTGTGTTAAAATTATATAAAAACTAAAATCAACATTCAACATACATTATTAACACAATTTAATAAATTAATTTTGTATATTAATTTTTAAATTCGTAATTCATGATTGTCTCATTAAAAACCTTACTAAGAAAAACCCAATTCGGATAAAAACTTGGTAAGAAAAAACTAATCATTTTGTGACGAATTACAAATGTTACAAACTTACAAAGTTATATAATTACAATGTCAAGAGTAAATACATATTTATAAATTACAAATTTACAATTTAATTTGAAGCTGAAAGATCGTCTTCAAAATTAAATGTTAATTGATTAAATTCATCGATCCAATCTTGACTTGCCAGCAAAATTGTATCCTGTAGACGTTGATCGGCATGATCCCAATCCTTAATGCAGACTAAGGCTTCGACAATGTCCCTTTGCAATGCATTCCTCAAGTATTCGTCCTGTCATACTGAAGGCTTATTCGGATGAAATAGTGGAGACTAGAATAAAAAATATATCCATTGCCAATCGAGGTGGGATTGGCCAAGTTAATGTATGTGCCTTCCACCATTGAACTAAGTCAAACAATTCTCTAGTGTCATTGACTATTAAGCCTTCACTGAGATACGCTATAAGCTCGTTGAAGCTGCCGCCACCACTGCCACTTGTTGATAAAGATCTACTCCCAACTTTTGTTTGAGTCGTCTTCTTCTTCTTCTTGAACCCGAAAATATTCAAGAATGAATGCGGGTTTTCATCTTGTTGTTGTAGTTCCTGTACTCTAGAGTTTGTGCTTCTAAACCTAATCTCATATTTACTATAGATCGAATATATTTGTGCCTTTATTATTGGAAATTGGTTCGAACAATTAATGTCTAAAAATTCACCTAAGTTATCTAAACCACTTTCTAAACCGTCTAATTTTAATCTAGGATAAAAAAAATAGTACCTAAACCATACAACAAAGACAACTTAGACTAATATTTTTTAAATTTCTTTTCCATAGATTGGATAGGAACTCCTAAGATTGGGTATTCCCTATATTCGCTAAATAAAATACTAATTCTTAAAAGTTCACCTAAAGCTAAAGGTGATGTTGGGTAATATGTTCTACTAAGTTTTAGAGTAACTTTATGAAACCTACCTAAAAATTGATACAAACTTAGGTAATTTACCAATCATATGTGTCTATATGTCCTACTTCTAATTTTGCACACATATAGTTTGTTATAGCATTCTTATAGGGGATGCATTGTTGAAGCATTATATAAGTTGAGTTACATCTTATAGGCATATCTAACGCTAATGCTTTAGGAGATATATTTAATGCTTGTAATAACCTAAACCAATCTTCTTGTCTTTGGTTACTACCTTGAATCTATACAAGACTATCTCTAATTCTTGTAATGTGATTGTTCATTTCTTTTAAACCGGATTTAACTATTAAATTAATTACGTGACATGCACAACGTTGGTGGAAAATAGTACTGTCACCGAATAAACTTAAATCATTTTCAAAGAACTCAATTGCTTTTGTATTGGCATTAGCATTATCTAATGTTATAACCATTACTTTATCTCTTAATCTAAATTCATCAATTACATTTAAAATTGTATTATATATTAAATCCGCGCTATGTGATCCTAGAACACATTTAAAACCTAATATTCTCTTATATAAATTAAATCCTTTAAAGTAATGTCCGGTTACAGCTAAATAATCTTTATTGACAATGGCATATCAAATATCTGCCGTTAACGCAACGCACCCGCTAGTCGAGTGTAAAAGGTTTATTAATGCTTTTTTTTCTTTTTTAAATAATTTTAATAAATCTTTCCGAATAGTAGTTTTTGAAGTGAACTGTGCATTAGGATTATGTACAACCTTCATATATCGTTGCCAATTATGATGCTCTACAAAACTAAGTGGTTGATCTAAAGTAGCTATCATTCGCGCAACTTCCATACGATCTACTTGCAAATCGTATTTCCAAGTGGTTAGACCACCGGTTGCGCGATCAAAAGATAATTGGGTTTGGCGGAGTTCAGGTCTGCCGGATTGGCTAAGCTTTTGAAGATACTTTTCAGAGTGTCTTTTCAAGTGTGTGGTGTCGTGAATAGTATCACCTTATAATTTAGATAAACAATATTTATATTGAGTTATATGTTTAGTGTTACCTTCATTATCGATCTCCTCAATTGTTTCGAAGTGATCCCAAACTGTTGAGGTGCGCTTGCATTTCTTCTTGGAGGTTGCAACACTTGTAAACGCAGTTGCACTTGCACTTGCTGCTTTTCCACGCTCACCACCATTTCGACCATGACCTCTAATATGTCTACCAGAGCTCAGATTATTAGATTTCTGCGTAATAAATTCATTAGTGGGAAATTGTCATTCTTTCACGTTGTGTTGGACATAAACGGGAATACCACTATAACCAAAAGAATTCATTATAAAAATTAAGAGCAATTTGAGAGAGAGAGTTTTAGGATAATATGATAGTTTTTAGAAAAATTATGAGAGAGATTGAGAGAGATTGAGGCCCCGTTCTTTTCACTGATTCGAGTTTAGAATTTGAGTTTTGCTACAGTAAAAAGCTATCAGAAACAGTCACATCTAACTTTTTTGCTACAGTAAAAAGCTCTCACACAACATCACATCTCAACTCAAATTAGCAAACCGAACAGGCCCTGAGAGAGTTTGAGTGAAGAAAATATACAAGAGATGAGAAGTATTTATAGAAAAATAAAGAGGTTGTTCTTTTGGAATGTAACTTGAGTGTAGCTTTTTAGTTAAATTTGAGTTATAACTTGAGTTGAAGTTGTAACTTGAATAAAGTTGAGTAAAGTTGAATAAAATTAAAACTTAAAAGAATATGAATTTAAATAAAGTTAAAACTCAAATTGTATTTTTTTGAATTTTTTAGACAAAAAAACGTGCCCAAATTGTATGAATCAGGGGCGTCAGCCTCAGTGTAATTTATTTATTTTTATTTTTTCTCTCTGATTATAGGCTGTCTGCTGCCTATCTCCAAATTAAGCGCGTAGGACACGTGGCAGTTACTCGATTCCCAAGTCAGTAAAATCCGCATTGAAGTTGACAGTTGACAGTTGCTTCCACTTCCCACTTCCAACTATAAAAAAAAAAACCGAGCGGGAAATAGCAGTTCTATTTGTTTTTTCTTGCCCCTCTCAAAACTTCCCTCTGTTTCTCAGCAATGGAGGTTTCCAATCCCAACTGTGATCTTGCTCCTTGCATAGAAGTTCCTCTTCCTCGCTCGGTGCTGGAATTGCTGGAGCGAATCTGCGCCGAGCGCAGCCAGCCGCCGCCGGACGCCGAGCTGAGGCGAAAACTGGCTTCCGCCGGAGAAGACGAGGCTCTTCGGGTCCTCCGCACCATCGCCGACTGCAAAACCAAAATCAAGAGCCTCCATGGATTCGTCACTTACTTGCTCCGCCAGCAGCCGCCGCCACCGTCGCTGTCGTCCCCTTCTCGCTCTCCCGTTCCGGAAAACAGCCGTCCTTCGAGTTCTCCGGGCACTTTCGCCAATTCGCAAGGTGATTATTGAATGTTGCTCTGTTTCAAGATGATTCTTTTTAGGTTGTTTGGCTAATTGTTCTGGAACAGGTGCGAATGGAGCTCAAATGGAGGCTTTGGGCGAATTGGAGTTCAGGAAGCAGTTCCTGATACTCAATTACATAGGCAGGTACTATAAAGTTTTTACTTTTTTGTTCGTCTTTAGTATTTTTTTTTTCTTTTGCTTCTATACATGTGCTTTTTTTTTTTAATTTGATTGATAAATTCATGGCTGTTTTCATGAAATGCTTAAAGAAATGAGCTTCAGAGCGTCACAACGGCTGAAGAAATCAGGAGTCTAAAGAATCTCTCCATGGTACAGTTCGAAAAGCAAGTATGGCAACGCTTTGGCGAAAAGTATGTTGACCAGGAAGACCGTCGCATTGTGAGTTCCATTTTTTTGGTTTTGTAGAGGGATTAGCTTACCTTGTAACAATTCTCACATCTTACCTGAATTGGTCTTCCTTTTCTTTTAATGTTCTACAGTATCATGATTGGGATTCTGGAAAAACACACATCTATCGTTGTCATGTCTCTCCAGAAGGGAGTTTTAGATTCAAGGTTGGTCGGTGGTCCCCGCCCCCCCTACCCTTTACAAAAGTAATCACACACACACACGATCACATACGTGTATATGCTTGTTGGCAAATTTACTTTAAATAAGGGAAACAACCTTTACATCCTGTCGCTTTTGTTTATAGCTGAAACCTTTGTTCTCCGTTCAGTGGATTGCATTTGTCTTTTTTTCTTACTTTTATTGAAGATTCTTAGTGCAAGTTCTTCTACAGAATTTCGTATTTTAGCCATTTGTTAATCTTTCTGCAATAAAGGAGCTGCATGTCCTTGTTCTTTTTGTCAATTCCAAATAGTAGCGTCATGGGGCACTTTATATTATAGTTCAATTTGTTGATATCAAGTATCCAGTGTATTCACGTTTCCTCTTATTTTTGCTTGAAAAGTTCTAAATCGATATTCATTTATTCCTAATGGTGTTATTACCAAGTTCATGAGGCTATGATTGGTGTGTGGCTTAATAATGCTGCATCTGAAATTGTCATTTACGTTGACTTCTAATTCAGGGCCCTTATCTAGAAAAACCAAAAAAACACTTACAAAAGGTTCTAGGGGATGATAACGTTTTGATGGTCAAATTTGCTGAGGAGGAAGCTGAAAGATTTTCTATTGGCTCACGTGATCATTACTATGCTGGATATAGCAAAATATGCAGAGAAGGCATTTTGGTCGGATTACGCCGATACTGCTTCTTCGGTGAGGCTTTTCTGAACTTGTGATCTAAATTTTCAGTTTAACCTAATTTCTTGTCACTGAAGTAATGAGAGTATATTTTGAGTTGAGTATGAAATTCAAATTCAGGTTTTTCTGCTGACTTTTTTTTTTTTTTTTTTTTTTTTGGGTGCTGCTTTCAACATTGTTTTTGACATATTTCTTTCTTTCTTTCTTTTCTGTCTCTCCCTCCCGCTCACTTTTAATTGTGGGTTTTGACACATTAGCTCTGCTTCTAATATTAAATAAAATTTGCTTTAAGTTTTGAAGTGGTTGTGAGTATTGGTTTCCACTCGTATATGTTCCTTTTGTCCCCAAATGGTGGACACACACACATAAAAAGCAGATGTATATTTTTTCTTCAACATTCCATTCTCTAGTTCCTCTTCTTTTATCAGTAATTTTACATGGCCTGAAATGACAGTCATGCATACGGCACTTCTTTCTTCCACTGGCATACTTATTCACACATGTATCTACTGCTTAACCTTCTCATCTACTTCATGTAAACAATCTCTTAAAATTATAAAAATATTTTTCTCTCGTTTTTTTTCCTTCTTTTTTTCCTGGGATGTGCAAAGAAACGCATGTGGAGACACTCATCCTTGTAATAATAGACTTCATCCATGTTTCTATGCGTAGTTTTCTGTGAAAGGGATTATGGTGTGAAGATTCCGTCTTTTTAGGATCATCAATTTTCCAGTTTTAAATCCTGGAGCTAGGATAACTGATCTTACTAAGAAACTACATCTGGCTAGTCCTTTATAATTCTTGTTAAGTATTTTCTTTTCATCGCGGTGTTCAATTTTCTACTTCTACGCTCAAAATTCATGTGTCTTCTACTCTTTTATGGATTGAGCATCCTAACAATACTAACAAGTCTCTCCTGTAAATATTAATATTACACGATCAGTTTTTAAAGATGGTGGAAAGGAAGAGAAGAAGAAAGATCCAACATCGTCGCCTGTGAAGTGTTTTTTCATTCGCATCCATTCAGATGCATGTATTGATCAGAATGTATCTTATATTTTGTCTGGTAGAACAATTTCTGAGGCAAGGAAGCTGTTTATGCACGCACATACAGTATCTAGTGTGTCCAACTATATGATTAGGTATATTTCAACATATGTAGTTACTTTCAGCAAGCCGTGTTTTGCAGTTTTTTCACTGATACTTTAATAGTACAATCCTTGTAATTTCAGGTTTTCACTTATTTTATCCAACACACTGAGCCTTAAAATTGATCTATCCTCTGTAAATATCGATATAATTGAAGATGAGTACTGCCAGGTACTCTCAATAATATATTTCTATAAGTTTTGTGATCTGTCTTGTTATGACATTCAATTAAAGTTTTTGAAATTGCAGGACGAATCTGGCAACCCTATATATAGAGATGGAAAACCACTTATATATACAGATGGGACTGGGTTCATCTCTGAGGATTTAGCTTTGCTGTGCCCTAAGAATTTAGAGAAATGGAAACGTATTAATGACAACAATATTGAGGTTTTTTTATTGTGATAATAGTTATTTTCTTTTATTATTTTTATTACCTACGGAAAGTAGGCAATTGGTAACGATAAATATGCGATCAAACCATAGGCGTCTTTTTCTCCCATAGTTATATATTAATTTTATTGTAGCTGATTGTAAAGTCCTGAATTTTGATATTCTCATATTTTCTTTTTATATTTTATGTTTTCCTTTCCAGACTTATAGATTTATTCTGATCATCTTTGGATATGATTTGGTCTTTTGCTTATGGTGTTAGATAATGCATAATCAAGACGGGCATGTGGAAAATGTTGCAGAAATGGGACATCATGGAACTGAGACACTGGAGCCAGTACGTACATGAAACTCTGGCGGCTGCTTCTCAATCTCTTTCTCTCTCTCATCAACAAAATTCCTTTTCTCGTTTTTGTTTAGCTTTTCCTAAGGCACATTACTTCACTTTTATATTTAAAATTCATCTCTCTTCCCTCTTTTTTCTTTCCTATCCTCTCTCTAGCCTATGTTGATACAGTTCCGTATGTTTAATAAAGGCCGTGCAGTTAAAGGGACCTTTCTTGTGAACAAGAAGGTATGTGTTCTTTTTTCTTTTCTTATCTTGAGAAATGATGATGCTAGTTGAAAACAACAAAGCCTCAGGAGCCTGTATTTTACTATTTTTTATTGATCAATGTCAAGTGTTTCTGTTTTTATTGTTCTATTTTTTTTTTGGAAGGTATTCTATTGTTTAATTTAGTGAATAGTGAACATTGATACTCAATGTTATTGGCAGGTTTATGCTTTACTTTATGCAAAATAAGAACACAAAAATCCAATTTTTTTCCTTTTATTTGTGTGAGTTTTCTCTTTAGTATTCTTTCTTATAGATTTTTATTCCACATTTTGTAGCTTGAACCAAAAACAATCAAGATTCGCCATTCAATGGTTAAAGTTGAGCCAGATCGAAAATTGTTGATTAATCAGACATCAGACTCGCTAGAAATAGTTGGAACAAGGTGCCTACAATATCAGCCTATATCTTTGCATGAACTGCAACTTGTATGCATTGCTGTTAGTTTACCAATCCATCCCAAAAGCTTAAGCTATTAGGAGGTGGGTCAACAATAGTTTTATACTTTAACACTCGCCCTCACATGTGGGCTGGACAATGGACAATCGTGTGGGTAAATTAATTGGAAAGCCTAACACGTGAATATTTAAGCCCGAGATATATTAAAGACCTAACATATGATGACACTTTAAATGGGGATAAAGAGTACAATTATGAGAGTTTAAACTCAGGACCTCCTGCTCTGATACCATGTAGTGAAATAACGTAAATTATGAGAGAGTGAATATTATGTTTCATTGATCTGAATAGAGAGAAGCTTTACAATATATAGACTACTCTAGGATACAAAAAGTAGGAAACTAACCCAAAAAACTAAATTAGGAAAACTATCTAAGGCTATCAATTGTCAATTCTCTAGAGTCAACTTTCCTAGAATAAGCTAACAACCTATAGTCCTAAAATATCCCATAATCCGGGTACAACTATACAAATCAACACTCCCCCTTAAGCTAGTGAATAGATATCTTCTATTCTCAACTTGGAAACAATTTCATGAAACACTGGACTGTTTAATCCTTTAGTTAAAACATCTGCCAATTGACTTCCCAATGGTACATAGGACATGCACACTAAACCTTCTTCCAGCTTCTCCTTGATGAAGTGTCTGTCAATTTTAATATTCTTTGTTCTGTCATGTTGCACTGGATTATGAGCAATGTTATCACAGTACAACTTCATGGGTTCTTCCCACTTGATTCCCAAATCATCTAGGATAATCTTAAGCCATAAGAATTCACACACTCCCTGAGCCATTGCTTTGAACTCTGATTCTGCACTTGACCTAGCTACCACATTTTGTTTTTTACTTCTATAAGTTACCAGATTACCACCAAGAAACATACAATAGCCCGATGCGGATCTCATATCCACTACAGATTTTGCATAGTCTGCATCTGTGTAGGATTCCAGTGTGAGTATTATTCTTCTGAATAGATTCAGAACTCCTTTTCCTGGACAACCTTTCAAGTAGTGTAACACCTTGTAGGTAGCTTGAAGATGTGATTCTCTCAGATCATGCATAAATTGACTTATCATGCTTACTGAATATGCTATGTTTGGCCGTGTATGAGAAAGATAAATGAGTTTCCCCACTAATCTTTGATACATTGCTCTATCAACCCTTGGTTCTTCTTGTGCTTCCAAAAGCTTCTAGTTCGGTTCAACCAGTGTAGTTACTGGTTTGCAGCCAAGTTTTCCTTCAAGAGATCCTTTCAGTCCTCTAAGTCTTCCAATTTCCTCCCCACTAAGTCCTTGCTCCTTTTTCCCTGGAAGATTGACCTGCTCTGTGAGGTGTGCCTGGCCATATGATTTTTGCTGCTCTCCTCGGTGATCGCATTCTTTGCTCGAAGTGGATGGCTTACCATGCAATTTCCAGCAACGTTCCTTGGTATGCCTCGGTTTCTTGCAGTATGTGCACCACAGATTGTCGCGGTTGTCTCGATTATCCTTCCCTGAAAATTTGGTCTGATATGCTCTTCCACTTTCTGAAAATCTGGTCAGTTATGCTCTCGGTTGAGCTCTCCCATTTTCTGGTACTTTTTCTTGTCCAGTCCTGAATATCAGCGCTGATCCTTCTGCAACTTGGGGCTCTAACATAATACCCCTTTGGCTTTCCTCTGATAGAATAAATGAAATTACCTCCTCTAAAGAAGGTACCTCCTCTTTCCCAAGAATCTGCACTCTAACTTGATCAAATTCCTGGTTGAGTCCAGCAAGGAAGTCATAAACCCGATCTTTCTTAATGAAATTCTTTAGGGTTGCAGCATCCTCTGCACACTTCATTTCAATAACTCGATAGTGGTCAAGTTCCTGCCATAAATTCTTTAGGGAATTGGCATATTCAGTCACAGTTTTTCCCCCCTGTTTGATGGCACTAGCTCTGACTTTGATCTCATACACACGGGCTGCATCACGAGCTTTTGAGTAGGTCCGTTGAATGGAGTCCCATATTTCTCTGGCAGTGGTCAGAAACATACAAGTATCGCTGATTTCATGGTTCATTGAATCCCACAGTCATGACATGATCATGGAATCTTCCTCATCCCGAGCATCAAATTTCGGATCCCCTTTCTTTGGTCCCGTTCCAAGGAGGTGGCTGAGCTTTCCTTTGCCTTTCAAATAGGTTTGGACAAATTGAGACCATTTTAAATAATTTTTTCCATTCAGCCTGTAAGTAGCCCTAATGTTTTGCAAATCACCAGTTGAACGATAGGAATTATCCTCTTCAAATTGGGAAGTGTTGGTGGCTTTGGTCTCAGACATGGTTCTAAAGATTGATTAAGTGGAAACGGGAAACAGCAACAAAGCAGCAACAACGACGATTAAAAACAGCAGCAGCGGCGGCGGCAACAGCAGAACAGGAAATTAAAAAAAAGGAAACAACAACAGCAACGGCGATGAAGGCCGGAAACAGTAGCAGCAACGGCGATGAAGGCCGGAGAAAACAGCAACAGCAGTAACAGCGATGAAGGCAGCAGTATCGGCGATAAAGGCCTAAGAAACGAACGAAAACCTAGGAAAGACGACCTAGGGCTGTGATACCATGTTAGTTTATCAATCCATTCTAAAAGCTTAAGCTAGTAGGAGGTAGGTCAACAATAGTTTTATACTCTAACACTCATCATCAACTTTTCTTTTTATGTATATCACGCCCTAACTTTTCTCGTTTTGCTTCATACATGAAGAGACAAGAAACCTTGTTTCCATGCTAAGAAATACTGTTATTCTGCTACTTGAAGTATTTGTTTGTATTAGAAGTTGATAAGTATCAGTGTTGACTAAAAGAAGGTTTTCTGAAGCATAAAAATGATAAAAACCTACAGAGGAGAGAGTCGCTTTTGAACTATAATATCTTGTGTTCTTACAGCGGTCTCATGAAACAATGGAAGACCATCGAAAAGAGATGCATGGCAATGCTTTTGCCACTTAATTCTCTTCAAGGAGAAAAATTTTGTTACATGCTTTAAATATGGAAATGGAACATCATATATATAACATGCAGCCATTGTTCTATTTCCTGTTGTTTAAGGCGAGATCTTTGACTTTTATGTTCTTTTTTTCAACATTGACTTATAAAGTTGTTATGCTCCAGCAACCCTCCAAAGAAAACATGTTTGTCAAGGTGTTTAATCGCACTCCTAAGTCATGGAGGCGTCCCAGATGATTATTTCAAGGGTTTACTTTGGAACGCTTTGAGAGAATCTCATGGTGCTTTCAACGATAAGCGTACTGCAATCAGAGGTGTTTTCTTTTGCCCTATTTTTATTTTCTTTTCTTCCATTGCTTAAATTTTTGAAGTGCCATACAAATACATAGTTGCACAATTTACTTGCTATATTCCTTTTATTTCTCTTCATTCTTTCTTTGTTCCCCGACGGATGAATGAAGAAAATGCTGATTGCTTGCATATCTGCAGTTGCTATTAACCGAGGGAGTATAGACGATGATTCTACTGTTGCAAGAATGATATTGTCTGGTATACCTCTTGAAGAACCGTATTTGCAACATCGTCTGTTTGTGCTAGTGAAGGAGGAGAGGAAGAGCCTCAGAGGGGGGAGACTACACGTAGATGACTGTTTTTATTTAATGGGGACAGCCGATCCCACTGGAAAACTTGAACATGACGAAGTTTGCATTGTTCTGTATGTCTTATCTTTTAGGCATATATTCCCTTCATGTTACACGAATCGGTTCAAACACATTCTCTCACATTGAAACTGTATTTGGGCAGCCATGAGCAATTTTAATACTTTCTAAGGTCTTGTTCATTTCACAACTCAAATTTTATTGCTACAGTGTTTTCTCTCATAAAAATTCAAATTCAACTTTTTTACTATAGTGTTTTTCTCTCACATACACACTCAAGTTATGACTTGGTTGTGAAATGACCCTAAATAATTTGAGAACCTTTGCACCTTTCTGCTTTCTTAATTTTAATGAGTCTCTAGTCTGCATTCTGTGCTTATTTTGAGTTTTTTTTTTTTTTTTTTTTTTTTTTTTTTGTGGGCACAATAACATGTTCAGTGCTAATGGACAAGTTTCTGGGAAGGTACTGGTTTACCGTAATCCCGGCTTACACTTTGGGGACATTCATGTTTTAAAGGCTACTTATATAGAGGAAATGGAGTCTTTTGTTGGGAATGCAAAGTATGCCATATTCTTCTCAAAGAAAGGTCCGAGATCAATTGCTGATGAGATGGCTGGCGGTGATTTTGATGGCGATATGTTCTGGGTCTCAAGAAACCCTGAGGTATGCCATCTACCTCCACTTCTGATTAACAGACTCTACTTCAGCTGTTCTAATTTGAGTGTTTTTTTTTTCTTTCTCGGAATTCTATTTTGGTAAATGTGTTCTCAAGTGCCTTTTTTAGCTTCTCCAAGTTCTTCTTCCATTGTGCTTTCTTTTTTTCTGTATAGTTCAGTTACTATTTTCTTTCTTTTTCTGTTCTTAGGTATCACTAGTCAAGCTTAGATGTAGTCCGAATTTGTTCTTAATATCGTAATGAAAAGCTTGGTTGGTACGGTATTAAAATTGTCTCTCTTTGCATATTTCGGAACAAGCTGACATTTAGAATGGTACTTGGCCGATGTTTTAGAGGACAATGACCTATTATGCCTTCCTTAATCTCTTGCACTATATGAATTGTTTTGAGAATAATTAATCATGTTTTACTTATCTATCTACCAATAAAAAAAGTTTCTAAGTGTTCTAGCTTAGAATGACCGTGGGTTTGTTTGAGTGTCCGATATTGCACAATACGATACCTGGATTACAGCCCAGGCCCCTTTGATGCTGAGTCATTGTGGATATGGTATCTTTGGCTATTGAAAATGATTCAAAAGGAATATCTGCTCATCATGCGCCAAGACACCAAAAGTGATAATTGATCGTTTGAAAGATGTTCTGTGTATTGATCATTTTTAATAAATGCAGCTGTTGAAATATTTCAAGCCCAGTGATCCATGGATCAAAAAATCCTCAACGGGAAAGGTTAAGAGTAAACAACCAATTGATTTATCAGATAGAGAATTGGAAGATGAGCTGATTAAACTGTTCCTAACGGTTAGGTTTAAACCAAGGTATGCTTTTTGATTACATAGTTATAATAAGTTTTGATCTGATGTAATTCATGTGAGATTAATGCATTTGACGTGCTTTATCTTGTATCTATTGTTGCTCAATAGTCTTTGGACCAGTAGTATAAAGCATCATTACAAGCGTGGCTGGACTTTTTCTTTAATGATACGGAGAAATAACAAATTTCCAGTTATAGGTTCTTTTATTTAGTGCCTAATATTTGGTCACGTTCAAGGGTTTGTTTGTTGTTGAATATCAGCTAATTGTTGCTATGGTGTTAGTTTTAGACTTTATGCACATAAAGCAGGCCAAAGCCACTCAGAATCAATTTCATCTTTTCAACGTAAGTTTCTTAGGTTGTCCTTTGTTACTACTAGGCAAGGTTTAATTATTAAAATCTCTCAATCTTTAACATGAATGGAGACTGGGCTTGGTATCTCGGTCTGGGTCCTTATTGCGGTGTCTCTAATACTTAACCTGGTCGGAAGAGTTGTGACATTTATATCTGAAACGCTTTCTGCTCTTTTACCAAAAAAAAAAAAAAAATGAAAAAAAGAATATATCCTTTGTTATTTTCAGTTTTGCCAAGAGTGAGGCTTCAGAGGGTTGGCTCGCACTGATGGATCGTTTTCTAACTCTGGGAGATGATTGTGTTGCTGAGAAGAATGCTGTCAAGGACAATTTATTCGAGTTAGTTGATATTTACTATGACGCATTAGACGCTCCAAAGCAAGGAGGAAAGGTTAGTTATGTTGCTTATCTCTTTCGTTTCTTCAATTGCTATAGCCATTGATACTTTCATTAATCACTATTCACAGTTGTCTTTTTCTGTTTTTCTTTCTCCTATGTCTCACATGCATACATACATATGGATTGGGGCTAATTTCTTTGATTGACATATTTTAAGCAACAAGACCTTGCAAAGTTCTTTGAGGCTTATGCAGCCCTTGAATTGTCTTTTCAAGTTTTAAAAGTTTCTTGTGATATCTTAAATTGGATGAGATTTGCTCAGGCAGCTTTCCAATTTATATTCTATTCATTTATGTTTTGTCATGGAGCTCATTTCAGACTTTAATAGAATTGTAGCGTGTATATGATGATCCCTCTTACTAACGAGTCCTGATGAGTCAACTCCACGACACATATAACGGTCACGCCAAATGAAATAATTAAAAAAATACGTTTGCTGTCCCGATGAGTCAACTCCACAACGCATATAACAGTCACGCCAAATGGAATAATTAAAAAAATACATTTGCTATCCGAAGTCATCTCTCGTTTTATGTCCATAGTTTTTTATATTGTAAGAATGTCTTTCCATTTCTTTTTCTGTCTTCTTGTTTTTTTTCCCCCCCACCTTTTTTAAACTCCATTTTATTTGTTGTGAAATAGGTGGAAGTTCCCAGAGAGTTGAAGCCAAATAGATTCCCTCATTATATGGAAAAGCAAAATTCTTTTCATTCCAGGTCCATTTTGGGGTGGATCTATGATGAGGTGGATGCATATCAACTGGAGGATCATTCAAACAAAGGTGAGGATTTCCCAATTCAACATTGCATCTCTCCTTTCATCATCTACTCATAAAAAATACATGATATTTAAAACGAGAGTTGAAGCCAAATAGATTCCCTCATTATATGGAAAAGCAAAATTCTTTTCATTCCAGGTCCATTTTGGGGTGGATCTATGATGAGGTGGATGCATATCAACTGGAGGATCATTCAAACAAAGGTGAGGATTTCCCAATTCAACATTGCATCTCTCCTTTCATCATCTACTCATAAAAAATACATGATATTTAAAACAAAAAAAAAGTTAATTAATTTTATCCTCTATGGTGATAATAAAACTACTCTTAACACCTCTTTTGGGAAGAGTTTGAACGTACGTTCTTTTCTGCCATCCAGAGATCTTCAAGCTGCCTCATTTCGAGGTTGAAGTTCCCGAAGCTTGCTTGACAAAATGGAAGGCACACTATAAAGATTATAGGGATGACATGTGTGATGCTTTGCTAGCTAAGGACGTGGGAAAGACAGAAGCCGCTGAAGAGGTCAAAAGGAAGTACAAAAGAGTAATCTTTTTGACATTTAACTAGAAATCTGCATTTATTACTTTTGTTTTTAAAGCAATGTTATTTGACATTAATAGCGTCAGGCACCACTGCTCATGATGGGTGGGTCCCACATGCATGGGCCTATTTATGGGATTTGGCATTTGTGAGTTCTAGCACACGGACATTAGTGATGTCGTCTAACACCTTTTTTTTTCCCTCTTCTGCTTACAATATTCTCTTTGATGTAGCTACTATATGGTGCTGAGGAACTTGAAGAGAGTACTAAGAAGATGGAAGAGATTTATAACGAGGCACTCGCCATATATCACGTGTGTTACGACTATGCCATAAGTCAACGTAAAGTCAGTTACTGCAGCTTCGCGTGGAACATTGCAGGTTCAGCTTTGTTAAAGCTTCACGCCTTCAAAAAAATTGGTGAAAGGGCATTTTTCTGCCTTCCATCAGTTTTGAAGGAGGTTCTCTAATTCCACCTGAATAGTGTATTAATACGGTTAACGTTTATGGTATAATCTAATTAGCTATATACGCAATCCAGATGTACTAACTAACTCTATATATACGAGCAAAAAACTATCTACTATGTATGCAGAGAGTGTGGGAGAATTGCAGGTCATCAAAGATCTCAATCACACGTATTGGATATATTTGTATTGTATTTACGAGCAATGAAATTATCTTTCTATACTAATGTAACACCCATTTTTCTAAACCGACAAAATTCTTAGAAATAGATGTTAGGAATTAACTTGAATAATGTTATGGTGTTATATATTGTTAATTCTAACATCAGGTTGAGTTTATTTGTTACAGGTGAACGCGACGAGGACTCGAGGTGCCGAGAACAAGTTCATGCCATTTTATAGAAATTATATATATGTTCATTTTTTTAGGTGATTTGATAAATGAATATATGTTCATGATATGATATACTACATGTTATAATGCATGGAATTAAGTATCTTAGGAAAATTCTAAGGTTTCCTTGATTTTTTCTTTTAGACAAAAGAACTATTTACATGACATTAGTTTCCAGCTCTATTTTGGACCTTTAAAATTCTGAAATTATTCCTTTAGTTTATACAAAGCTGTAGAGCCTTTCATAAGCTTTCCAACGCTTTCTCATTTGCGCAAATCGGACATCGGAGTAAGAAGATATGGCCAGTATACCATCCGGATACCCAGCAGTCTTTGACCAGGTTACTGCACGCGAACAAAAATGGAAATTCAGAAGTTGGCCTAACTCTTCTATTTGTCTTCCACACGATTTTACACTCTAATGACAACCATTCTCTCAGCTGTTAAGGGGTCATTTAATCATAGGATTAAACCCTAATCAATCCTAAATCAATCACATTAATTTTTTTTCGTATTAAAGAGCCATTCAATTCCCCTTCTCTCAATCGCTCTTCCTCCTTATTTCTAACATTCTTTGCCATGAGGATTTTTGTAGAATGTGTGAATTGAATGTTTTAAGAACATGTCTTAGGGCTGGTTAAAGTATGCATATGGTTGGAATTGATTTTATCTTTAATGAATTTATTTTGATATTTTCAGAGTTTACTGTGCTGGAATTTTTCAGCATACATGATCTGACTTTAAAACAGTGTTTGAGGGAACAAATGAACTCCATTTTTAAGAAAGAAGGTGTTGTTGGAAAGATCTTGATGTCTATTTTCATTTGGCACCTGTTTCAAGTCGTTTTGAGTTTTCTATGATTTGTTATGAATTTTTAAAAAGATAAAGGTCAGACTGTCAGTTTTTGTAAGATTTGGAAAATTTGTGTAATTACTAGGATTTTTGTGTCTTAATGTTATTAAATGAAGGAATTGGCCTTTTAGGTGTTGTTTCAATATGATTGATGGATTTGATGAATTAATGTTTTTTAATTTTATTATATTTATAATTTATGACATGAACGGTTTTAGAAGTAAGCACCCGAGGACCTCATTCGTCATGTAACCGTTGAGAAATTTAAAAATGTTAAGTAAGGTGTTTATGTAAGTACACTCTCACCTGCAACATGAATTGAAGAATTTAGAAGTATATGATTTTGATGTTTATGATGATGTTATGACACCTTTAATATTTAATATGATGACGTTTTGAAGAAAAATATATATATGTATTTTTATATTTTTAAATGGTATTATACACCCTTGATGGTGACCGGTGAGCGGTCTTATTGCCACGGTTGGTATGAGATTTACTACCCATTCTTTCCGTGGCTAGCGCGCTATGATGGTACAACATCGGGCCCAATATATGATGGATTTTAAAGTTTAAACATGTTCAAAAATAATTATTCTCATGATAATGTTTATTATTGATGAATGAAAATGTTCATTTAAATTTGTGAGAATTAAGTGTCTTACTAAGCCCTTGCTTATATAAGTTATTTCATGTTGCAGACAATTTAAAGGGTAAGATGTAGCCATAGAGAATCTTGGAGTAGATGCGAGCGGTGCGTGAAAGGAAAGCGGGAGAAACAATCATTGAATGAAAGTGCTTAATGTTAAACAAAGTTTTTAAATTTTTATTTTTATTGTTTTGGAACTTTAGTTTGGTGGTTTTAATTTGAAGAATACTTAAGATCTTTTAAGTTTATTTTATGGTATGAATTTTAATAAATGAGTTGAACCTAAAGATTTTTTTTCTTTGATGAGGTTTAAAATTTTTAAAATTATAATATGAAAAAAAAAAATTAAGATTTCTTCAAGTCATTTAAAGTAAAGTATTCCAAGATTAACTATTTTTCGCATTTTTTTAGAGGTAAATGTTTGAAAGTTAAGATAACTGTAACGGCCCGTGAGAAGTCGTTACAACTAATGTGTCATCATTGTAATAATTCAAGGATAAGATATGGATACCACCAAGTATAACAATTTAACATTTGATTGCTACTTTTTCATTAATTATTGTAACATTTACATTTTTAAATTATTTTAAAATTAAAAATTTACTTTTACTACTCCAAAGCCTAATGATTATAACAAAAAGTAAATTTAACATTTTAAATATCATTATACATTAGAGTACAAATAAAAATAACATGTTAAATATACAGTTATACATTTTTAGTGTCAAATATATAACTAGCATTAACATTCACATGTAGGCAAGAATTCCATTTGGAATTCCAAACACTGAAACTCACTTGAACAGTCACAATGTCATCTGGAATCAAGTGAGTAACAGTAATTTTTTAGTGCCAAATATGCAATTGGTATTGAAAGTAACTCCTTGTACACAATTTAAAATGTCAACATTAATTAAGAGACTAGTGAGGATAATCATTCACAAGTGATAACTAAACATTTTCCCTTCTACAAAAGGGAAACCGTGAACAATACATATCCACAAAATTACTTCTCAAGTTCTCTGACGTAATCTTTTGGTCAAAAAGAAAAATTTAAACACACATGTAGAAAAAGCAAAAGATTTATCCACAACTATAAAAGACTAATGAGACTTTTCAACACTCCCTTACATGATTGAGTAGCTGCTATCAGATTGTGTCATCTCTCTAATTTTTTTTACAGGTTGGAGCGGAAAATTTAAACTAAAACTCAAACTTCTGAGAAAGAATATTGTAACAAAAATGTTAATTTGTGATTCTGAATGTGAAAAGAACGGGTTATTTCTATAACAATTAACAAAGCAAACCCCATTACTTATGGAAGAAGTTAGACTTATTGTAGGTACCTCTAATCAGATAAAAGCAGTCTTTTGTACTGAAATGTCATTTTCTGGTTGAAAGGAAGATTTTTTGGTGCGCATTCCTTTGATTGAGAGAATTTGGGTATGCGTATGGTGAGATGGGCTAGCCATCTGATATTTTTCTTTTCTAAAGAAATTTACATTACGGTATGAGATTTGAAGCGTCAAGGTTCTGTTTAGAATTGATCTCGTTTTTATTTTTTATATTTTTTAAGAAAGAAAAAATAAAAATATTTTTAAAATAGCGTTTGACGCAATAAAAATAAAAATAGAAATTAAAACGATTTTTTAATTTAATATAAAATGAAAAAAAAATAAAAAAATGACTTTTAATCATTTTTTATTTTTATTTTCTCCTCACTCGAACAGAGAGAGAGAGAGAGAAAGAAGGACATTATTAAATTTTTTTTTACACTGAAAATAATCTCTTGATAAAACTACCAAATGCATTTTTTAAAATGATTTCTGTCTGAAATTGAAAATGTTTTTATTTTCATTTTCATATAAAAAATAAAATTATTTTGAAACGAGTTCTAAAAACGCTCTAAGTTTCTGTTAATATGTATTAATTTTGCATATTTTTCATGTGATTGAATCTGATCTAACATTTAGAAATAGGGACGCATTATTCCTAGAACTAGTTTATAGAAATTAGAAAGCACTTTTTTTTTTGTGTGTGTAATAAAATTTATTAGATAGTTGCCCCCCTATTGTGCCCTTTTTTTTCCTGCCGTTCTCCATAGTGCGCTTGCTAGTTCCTTTTTCCCAGAAAAGTCACGCTATTTAAACTGTGTTAAACACGAAGGAAAACAATGGGCGATCATTTGTACTGAATTTTCTTCAGACAAATGGAAAACCATATTTGAGAATTTTTTTTTGTCTTTTATTTTACTATTCTATTATTTGCTGCTATTTGTTTTAGGATATGTTTATTTTAAAGGTTTTATATGATTTAAATTATGATTTTTAATTCTGTTATAGTATTTTTTTATAAAAAATTTAAAATTTAAATATTAAAATCATAAATTATGATTTAAATTCATAAATCAAGCAGTTATTTGTTTTACTATTCTTGCTACGAGTTTTTATTTTTCATTCTGATGGAATACCGAAAAAAATAAAAAAAACTTGTTAATCTGATTTCAATTCCCATAATAAATTGCAGTAAAGTCATCCAATCCGAAAGAAGAAAAGGACCGGATTAACATCATAGAAATACCAATCAGTGCTACTCCACACTACTGACTGTGTATCAATTTTTTTCCCAAATCATACAAAACAATTCTGCCTTTACGATGTGACAGATTAAAGATCCCCTAAAAGATTTCTCATTTCAAACACTGTTCTTATTACTTTTTTTTTTTTTTTTTTAAAAATTTTTTTTTTTTTTTTTTTTTTTTTTCATTTTGACGCCTTGTATTTTACTTAAATTATAAATGGTCCATTTAGTTCGTTGATTAAATTTTTAATTTGAATTGAGATATGATTTTATGTGAAAGCTTTTTACTGTAACAAATGAGTTAGGGCTTATTCGGTTGCATTTTTGAGTTATGTTGACTTAAGTGTAGATCTTGAGTTGAATTTGAGTTATAATTTGAGTTGAAGTTGTAACTTGAGTTTGTATTTAGATGTGCACATTTGAGTTATAATTTAAATTGAGAATCTATTTGAGTTTGTGTTTGGGTGGATCAAAACTTAAATTTATATTTAGATAGTATTTTAATAAAAACCCAATGGTGATGAAAAATTTTAATAGGGTATACTGGTGAGGTTTTATTCGTCGTTTCGTTATGAACGCATAGAAAAAAAATCATCTCAATCGGAATTAAAACGAAAAAGTTATGACGTTTTTAAGAATAGAAAAAATATTGTTCATTAACTTGAGTTTGAATTTAGGAACTTGAGTTGAATGGGAAACTTGAACTCAGATTAGCCCCTAACTCAAGTTCAAACTCAAATTTTACAAAAGAACATGAGATTGAATAAAGTTGTAACTTGAATTCAAACTTTTATTGAGTTTTACTCCAAAAGAACAAGCCTTTAAATATGACTGTTTCTGAGAACTTTTTACTATAGCAAAATTTAAATTCTAAACTCAAATTGATGAAATGAACGGGATTAAAGACACTTCTTTAATTGAGACATTTGCATCAATACATCTTCATTTTTTCAAAAAAAAAAAAAGAAAAGAAAAAAATAGGGACATCTCATCTATAAGTCCAGCATGATGGAATAGTGCATTTTGACACTGAAATATTTTTGAATACTAAAATACCCTTTCATCAAAAAGGTGTGTTGGGCCTCTATAGATTCAGTGAGTACAACGTGTACAAGACATACATGTGTAAGTACTGAATTCGGTAGTATCGATGCTGACGCGGACAAAACACACGGAAGAAGCTTTGTGAAATAACACATCAGAGTATTTTGAATACTAAAATACCCTTTCATCAAAAGGGTGTGTTGGGCCTCAATAGATTCAATGAGTACAACGTGTACAAGGTATACATGTGTAAGTACTGAATTCGGTAGTATCGATGCTGACGCAGACGAAACACACGGAAGGAGTTTTGTGAAATAACACATCAGAGCACAATGGGATGACTAACTAGAACACAAGACACTGAAAATGAAGTAAATTCTTTTCAGATAATGCAAAAATAAAAAGTAAGAACCTCAATACTCTCATTGTTAATACATCGTCCTTTACACAAATTCTTTGGACACATTACACAGCAAAGCCAAATCCTCAGAGATAAAACCAGCTCCAGTTCCATCTGTATGTATGAGTGGTTTTTCGTCTCTATAAACACGGTTTCCTGATTCATCCTGCAGTTTCAAACAAAAACTATTTAATTGGAACATAAGTGACAGTTAAAAACACTGCAACTCATATACAGAAAACGATTAGAGGATCATACCAGGCAGTAGACATCCTCAATAAAATCGACTTTCACAGAGGAGAGATCAATTTTCAGGCTGTGTCATGGATAACATCAGGGAAAACCTGAATGTGAAAGGAAGTACAATTAAATGACCAATGGAAGCTGCATATATACAGCTTTCTGAAAGAAAATACACCCCTCCAAAAAGGGAAGGGAAAGGATAAAAACACTTGCTTTCATGTTTTAGATAAGCTAAATCCCCATAACTTTGAAGATTTTCAAAAAATTCTTAAATGGTCAAAATTGTTAACCTGGTAATAGGCACTAAACCTACCAAATGAAGCTTAAGGCTTAGGTTCTATCTCTTCATTAGTTCCAAAGCATGCATAAAAAGGATTAATCATCTTGGAAATCAGTATTCTAAGCAAGCGAGAGAGAATTGCGTCTCAAGTTATGCATAATACCTTCAGAGTCAGTGGAGCCATGAATACATCAACAGACAACTTCATCCTGATCATAAGATTCTGACTACTAACTTCAGCTTCATTACCAACTGCGAAACGCTATCATCCTCCGTAAATATTAGCATCTCCACTCTGATATTCAATCCAGCTGCAACCAGGATCCTTCATAACCTGTTTATCTTTCATCAGATCTCTTACACCTCTAGCCTCATCCCATCTTCCTAGAGATGAATAAATATTGCCTAGAAGCACATACGGAGTAGCATCATGTGGGGCTAAGCTTAAAAGTTCATCTGCTGCTCTTTTGGCTAAAGTTACATTAGCATAAAGCCTACAAGAACTAAGCAAAACTTCCCACATGACTGGATCATCTTTATATGGCATCCTTTCTATAAGCACTTCGGCTTCTTCAAACCGACCTGCACGTCCAAGAGAATCAATAACGCAGGTATAATGATCTAAAACGGGTTCCACTCCATGTTCCTGCTCCATTGAGTCGAATATCTCAATACCTACATCAGTCAATCCTGAGTGGCTACAAGCAGTTAAAACAGCAACAAAAGTTATACCATCAGGTTTCTCACCTGATGCAATCATTTCCTTGTAAAGAGAAACAGCCTCATCTCCGCAGCCGTTTTGTGCGTACCCGTGTATCATCTCATTCCAAGTAACAGTGTTTTTAGTAGCCATTGTATTAAAAAACTGACGGGCTTCATCAATGTTACCACATTTGCAGTTCATATCAATGAGAGAACTCCCAACAAAGATATCATTTGTATATCCATCTTTTGTTATCAGAGCATGAACCTGTTTCCCTTGAAAAGAAGAAGAGAGCTTCGCACAACAACTTAGTACAGTAGAATAAGAAAATTGAGTGGGAAACATCCCATGTTGACGCATCTTCTTAAAGAGATCAAAAGCTTCCTTGTCTTGAGAATTAAGGGAAAACCCTGCTATTATTGAATTCCAACATACAATATCCAACAGAGGCATTTTATAGAATATGCGCTCTGCTAACTCTGTCTTCCCACACTTTGAATATGTGCCAATAAGTCCACTTGCCACGTATATATCAGAATGAAATTGAGCCTTAATTGAGGCAGCATGAATCTGTTTCCCAGCCTCGAGAAATCCCATTCCTGCGCACGAGCTGAGGGCAATAGTTAGAGTAGTTCGGTCTGGCAGCACATTTTGAAACTGCATTTCTCTGAAAAGCTTCACTGCGTCCTTGTGGTTTCCACTTTGGAAGTATCCAGATAGCATGGCATTCCATGAACTAACACTTGGGAATGACATGCTATCAAACATTTGGCGTCCGGTTTCTATGTCCCCAGACTTGATGCATGCTGCAAGCATATTAATATATGTGACCTCATCTGGCTCAAAACCAAGCTGACACATTCTTTGCACGCATTCTAGAGCCTTTCTGGTCTGATATGTTTGGCCATACCCAGCTATCATAACGTTCCAAGAAACGACATTGGCTAGTGGTAAATTAGCAAAAACCTTCTCTGTGGCATTTATGTCTCCATTCTTCGCGTACATATCAAGCAATGAATTATTCAGATGAAGATCTTCCTCAAACCCAAGTTTAATAGTAAGACAATGTACTTGTTTCCCACTCATATTAGAACAGAAAGCGTCATGCTGATCAAAAACACTAAATTCTTTAGATCCTCCTCTGGCACATACACCCATGATACTCGACAACGAGACAGAATCTATGTGAATCCCTTTCCTCAACATCATTCTAAACAACTGCAATGCCTTCAATACTCGATCCGTCTGTGCTAACCCACTCATCAAAGCTGTAAAAGTGACCTCATTAGGCTCAGACATGTCATCAAAAACTTGAACTGCATCACTAATAAGCCCACACTTAGCATACATAGACAGTAAAGCATTACTCACATATTTATTCTTCTCAAGACCAATCTTAAGAACAAGACCATGACATCTCTGACCACGCTCGACATCTAGCAATGCTCCACACGCACTAAACACACTCGCCAATGTGAAACGGGTAGGCATAAATCCTTCCAAAATCATGCTATCATAAACGTCCAACGCATTTCGTTCCAACCCATTTCGGACCAAAGCACTAATCACATTATTCCACGACACGATATTCCTGTCGGGCATTTTTACAAACAGTTCATGAGCATCTTGCAAATTTCCGGCCTTACAATGAGCACCCAGAATAGCGTTCCAAGAAAACACATCTTTCTTAGGAATTTTATCGAATGTGTGGTGAGCATAAGCAATATTGCTGCACTTGGAATACAATTCAATAAGACGATTAGAGAGGAAAGTGTTGAAGATAAGTCCATTACGGAATATATAAGCATGAATAAGCTTTCCAGCGAGATGGGCTTTCTTGTCTATGCAAAACTGCAAGAAGTTTGCTAAACGGGCACTTTGGCTTTCCATTTGATTAGTAACGGCTTATACTCAGTCAGGCGAAGAAGGAGGAGTTTGGAGTATTTATGTTGGATCGCATGGCAATTGTGGTCTGAGCGCAATTGAGTCATACGCGAGAGTTTCAACAAGTGGTGAGCGTGGCAGGTGTTGAGGCCGGAAGAATGGGCGCTCTCTTCGTCAGTTGGACTAGCTGCGGCTGCACATAATACAATCCAATTAGAATTTCCTTCAGAAATTTTGAAGAACTAATTTGTTGCACAAGCTAAATTATAATTTGAATGGTATAGGTGAGAAAAACACTTTAATAAAAATATTAAATTTAAATTTATATGAGAAAAAATATTGTAACAATATGATTTAGAATTTGTTGCACAAGCTAAATTATAATTTGAATGGTATAGGTGAGAAAAATACTTTAATAAAAATATTAAATTTAAATTTATATGAAAAAAAATATTGTAACAATATGATTTAATCATTTAATTATTTAGGTCATAAGCCTTAATAGTGGGCTTAGGGCGTTGATGATTGTAGCATTATTTTTACTTTTTTCAAAAGCCATAAACTATACAAAAATGCTAAACGGAGCCGTTCAGCTTCATAGACCCGTGGGGTGGATCTCAAGTCTTGTGGGGTTCACATGAGATCTATTTTCGTTCAGTTTATCGATTTGAGTTTTTAATTTAGGTTAATATATGACTTTATATGAGAGTTTTTAACTATAGTAAAAAAGTTAGATGTGACTTTTTGTGAGAGCTTTTAACTATAACAAAACTGTAATTGAAAACTCGAATCGGTGAAATAAACGAGATTCGTTCAGTTCACAGATTTGAGTTTTCAATTCGAGTTGAGATGTGATTTATGTGAGAGTTTTTCACTGTAGCATAAAAAGTTATATGTAACTTTTTATAAAAACTTTTAACTATAATAAAACTAGAATTGGTGAAATGAATACGGCCTTAATGTGTATGTGGAACTGCAATTCCGTGAGCAACTAGTATTATCAGTTTATGTTCTTTTTTAATTATTGTGTAATCATTTGGAGAAAAGAACAAATATTTACAATTTTATTGTTCTTTTCATAATTCAAGTTTTATTGTTACAGTATTTTTTCTTATAAAAAAGTTTAAATTCTTTTTTTATTACAATATTTTTCTTTCACATATACAAGTCAAATTCTCAACTTGAGTTATAAAACAAACATAACAAGTCTATAAAAGAAAATTTCATATTAGTATACTGTGTTTTAGCATAATCATCTTTTAAACATAAAAAATTCTAAAAAAAATTTTAAAAATTTTAAAACATTTAAAAATTAAGAAATAAAAATAATGTGTTTTAAAATAAAAATAATTTTAAAACATGTTCCTACCTTTGTCAACTTTTTTTCTAATGACGGCAGATCTTAATGAAAAAATTCATGTCAACTTTAGATTCATAACACAATTAAAAATTTTAGTTTATGTTATTTTTTGTTTTAAATGAGCTTTTATTATATTATAGTTTCCTCTCAAATAAATGGTGCACACTTTTCTCCTTAAAAATTTGGAGTCCGTCTGGTTCATAAGAATAAATAGAAAAGTTTAACGTGAATTTAAATTTAGTAAGAGAAAACATAATTATATCAAAAATATTTGACTAGTTATTTGAATTTATAAGGTGACGTTTGTTTCAAGAGTTATGTCTGATTTAGGATTATGGTTCTTGGTTCTGTTACAGTGTTTTTCTCTCATAAAAAATTTAAATTTTAAAAATCAGAATCATGAACTATGGTTTTGAACCTATGAACCAAATGTCACCTAAGTGTATGTTTGGTTGATGTATTTAAACTCGTGATTCTAATTCTATTATAGTGCTTTTCTCTCATAAAGAATTTAAATAAAAAAATTCTGAATTATAGTTATCTCACAAAATTCCCGTAATAAATCAAAACCACTGACATTAACGCATGAATGAAACAGACCCTAAAACAAACGCATAGATGATATTTTGTGTGAAGTTCTTTATGTGCCCATCTTGTTTTTTTTCCTTTTTTTCTTCTCTCATTTCTCAGTGAAGAGTGAAAATGAAATAGTCCTCAAGTTTCACGTAGAAGACAAAAAAAAAAAAAAAAAACACTTTTTATACTGATTCAAATTTCCACAATGAATTACAGTAAAGTCATCCAATCCAAAAGAAGAAAAGGACCATATTAACATGATAGAAATAGTTCAGTGTAAAAGCACAAAAACTAAGGACATCGTTGCCAAATACCTAAACCTTATAACTTGTGAAAGAAGCTTAAACTGAGTAGGCAGATCACATTTACGTCATATAAGGCAGCCTTTTGACTAAAAAATTCATTTTTAAAGTAAAAAGGATGTACGCATTTTTGGAGGGTTTTTTTTTTTTTTTTAATAGTGAATTTGAAGCTTGTTCTTCTCTATAATTTGAGTTATTATTTGAGTATCGTTCATTTTATCAATTTAAATTTTTAATTTTAATTTTATTACAGTTATAAATTATCATAAAAAGTCACATTTCATTTTTTCTGTTACAGTAAAAAATTCTCATATAAAATCACATCTCAATTTAAATTAAAAACTCAAATCAACGAATTAAATGAGATCTTGAATTTTGCATTATTTGAGTTATCATAATTTGAATTGTGTATGTGAGACATAACTATGTAGTAAAAAAATTAAATTTAAATTTTTATGAAGGAAAATATTGTAGTAATATGACTTTAGTCATAAGGCCTCATTCACTTCGCGGATTCGAGTTTTCAATTCGAGCTGAGATGTGACATTTTCTGATAGCTTTTCACTGTACCAGAAAAAGTTAGATGTGACATTTTTTGAGAGCTTTTCACTGTAGCAGAAAAAGTTAGATATGACATTTTCTGAGAGCTTTTTACTGTAGAAACATAAAACTAAAAACTCGAATCGGTGAAATGAACGAGACCAAAATAAAAATACTTTTAATAACTATAACGACAATTCATACCGTTAGGCTAAAACAAAATTTTTTTACCATAAATGTCGTTTTACGTGCGTTTATTATGAGAAAAAAATACTGTAAAAAATCATAAATTATAATATTATGCATTATAGACGAATACATGAAATAAATATCCCTTTAATCATTGTAGGAGTTGATTCGTCTTCATTAACGCTCGTTCAGACAATATTCATAGAAGCCGTACTAAGAGAAACTTTTTTTTTTTTTTAATCTCATGTTGTAGCACAAATATGCATAAATTGTTGCCTCGTTCATTTCGCTGATTCGAGTTTAGAATTTGAGTTTTGCTACAGTAAAAAGCTCTCACAAACAATCATATCTAACTTTTTTACTACAGTAAAAAGCTCTCACATAAAATCACATTTCAACTCGAATTAAAAATTCGAATCAGCGAACTAAACGGGCCCTGTATTTGTGCATACATACCAACAATAACTGATCAGAATTAGCAAAAAAAAACAAAAAACAAAAAAGCAATTTAAAGGTTTACCTTTTTCTTTAAAGGAGGACCTATCGAAGCTAATTTTAGTGCAATCCTTTTGTGTTAATTATAAAGTTCGACAGGTTTTATCAGCAATAAAGAAAAGAAAATAAAAGATGGAAAGAAAGAAGACAGCTAAGGGTGTCCTCCTTTTATCTTTTGCGCAAATTTTTAGAGTGAGAAACTGAAGTTGAATATCCACCCAAAACATTCCCATAAGACCCATTTTCCATTTGGTGGGGCTAACTATAACAAAGTGTCCGTTCATTTGATTTATTAAAGTCTATAGCCCGTTCATTTCGTTGATTCGAGTTTTTTTATAATAAAAAGCTATCACAAACAATCACATCTAACTTTTTTATTACAATAAAAAACTCTCACATAAAGTCACATCTCAACTCGAATCAACGAACTAAACGGACCTATAATTTTAATTCTTTTATAGAGTTTTTCTTTTATAAATAAATTTAAATAAATTTTTGTTGTTCCCAGGTCAATGTCTTCGAGAATCGTACACAAGAAAAGAAGAAGAAGAAGGACACAAGAATTACTTGGTTTGGATTTCTGGGAAATCCTAATCCAAGGGCAGAGGTTAAAAACCTCCAGTCCAATCCACTAATATGCAGAAAAACCAATTACAACCTCACAGACTTAATTCTTGATGAATCTCTCAATTACAAGCTTCCCCAAAAATTCTCACAGTTTCTCTCTCTAGCACTCACTGAGAAATCCAAACTCTGTTCTAGAAAGAGAAAGCACAAAGTGAAAATGAAAAACGTGAACAACTTATTTTCTGCTGTTTCTATTTTATACTACTTAAAAAATAGAACCTCTTATATTAACCTGAGTCAGAAAATTAACCACAATTAGTTAACTGAGATAGTTAAGTTTATCTCAACAACTAATTAGGCTGCAGTCGCATTAATTATAACAGACTTAACCTGTTAATAACTAACTCATAAATCAGAGTCACATTATTAACAATTTTTTTTATGATTCTCTCACAAAATTTATATCAATAAATCAGAATAAAACTCCAACTACTATGCTTCCCTTAGTAGAATGATTCACCAACCCATTATTACTAACAGTAGCTATCATGCAGTAAAAGAATTCATTTTTAACATGATTAAAGTCTCCTTTTTTATAAAAAGAAATATTTTTTAAGGGTAACAAAACTTAATATAATACAATAATGTAATTTTAAATCTTTAAACTATTTATATTATATTAATTTGATATTTAAAAAATTATAAATTATATATAGGCGTATGTGAGAAAGCTTTTTCTAAAGAATTATTTTAATAAGATAAGTAAAAAAGAATTATGAAATATTTTTTTAAAGAATTATTTTAATAAGATAAGAAAAAAAGATTATTTTAATAAATGACAGATTTTGTTAAATTAGAAAAACATCATATCTTTAAAATAGTCAATTACTAATGGAATGTTTGATTGAAAGGTTCGTCCACAGTTTTGAATTATAATTTTTGATTCTCTATAATATTTTTCTTTCACAAAAAATTGAATTTTAAAAATCAGAATAATGAATCATGGATTGACAAACGCGTGTGTTAATTTATCAATTTATTCTAAAAACTGAAGCTATTAGAACCTTTATGTGAGAATTTTTTATTATAATAAAAAAATTAAATGTAATTATTCTTAAAAAAATTTTATTATAATAAAACTTAAATTTTAAATTTAAATAGGTGATATGGTCTAAATTTATATTCGTTTTTGTTTTGGGTATGAAATTTTTTGACGGGCTACAAGATTCTGATTTGATTTGACTGATGCAACATTTTTAAGCTCACTATAAATTTATGTGAGATTCCGTTCCATTACTATTCTCCTCACTCTCTCACCTCCTTTATTTCCTTATCTTGCTGAGGAAGGAACTTCATTACATCATTAGTATATGATCGAGCGGGAAAACCGAGTATATATACACACACACACACGCATCAATTGTGCTCACTTCAAAATTCACGTCTTGACACAAACACACTCTGTCTCTCTCAAAAAAAATAAAAAAACTCTACTCATCTCTCTGTCCGTACGAGCAAAAACACAGAACAGCCATGGAGGGTCTTCGCGAGGAAGTGCCTCTTCCCCGTTCGGTGGACGAGTTGATCGACAAAATCTGCGCTGATCAGAGCCAGGCGCACCCGGAGGCCAAGTTGCGGTGGAGGCTGGCGCAGCGCGGCGAAGAAGGGGCTCTGGAGATCCTCCGCACTATCGCCACCACCAAAATCAAGAGAAGCCTCTCCGGTTTTATCATCCACTTGCTCGAGAGGTCCTCCTCTCCTCGTTCGACGCCGCCCAAAAGGCTCCGCCTTTCCGATTCCCCGACCTCCGGTTCCGGAGTTTCGGACAAGGTTATCACCGTCCAGTGTTATGCTCCTCCGAAAGGTGATCGTTGAAATGCCGATCTGTTCTTTGATTTTACTGAAGAGAGAATTTCGTTTTATGTGTGTGTGGTAATTACTGATAATAGCTGGGTTGTCGTTGTGGTTCAGGTGCGACTGAGGCTGTTTCTCGCTGTCTCTTTCTAGAAGCTCCCACAGAAGGCGGAGAAGCGGTGATGGCGGCTTTGGGGGAATTAGAGTTCAGGAAACAGTTCCTGATACTCAATTACATTGGCAGGTGTTATAAAGTTTTCTCCTTTTTTTGTTTTTGTAGTTCTGGTTTGGGGATTATCATCAATTTTTTTTTTGTTACCGTCCTTGAACCTCACAGCAATGAGCTTCAGACAGTTCTAAGGGCTGAAGAAATTAGAAACCTCAAAGGTCTCCAAATGGTGGAGTTCGAAAGGAAACTGTGGGATCGCTTTGGCGTAAGATATGTTGATCCACAAGACCGTGTAGTGGTGAGTGTCAATTCTTGTACTTTTGGATTTGTTTTCATAATTATCTCATGAGTGATTATTTTCTTTTTTAGCCCTTTCTGTTGTGCCTTTAAAGTGAAAGTTCTCTCTCTGTCTTTTTTTTTTTTTTTTTTTTGCTTTTGTAATTTTAGATGCTAGTTTTAATATTTGCATTCTGGAGACAAAATTTTCCCGGCAAGGTTTACCTGTTTTTAGTAACTTGTTTAGTTGTCATAATTCCCTCTTTTTTTTTTTTTTTGGGTCTTTTGCAGAATAATGATTGGGATCCTGAACGAACCCACCTCTATCATTGTCATGTTTCCACGGAAGGACGTTTTAGATTCAAGGTAGGTGGGGGGGGGGGGTTTTTTTTTTTTTTTTTTTTTTTTTTTTTTCTTTTTTCCCCGCATAGCTGTATTTCCATTCACACATGATCACAAACACGCAAATGCTTGTCGATGAACTTACTTAAATAATAGGAATAATCTTTTGATTCTAGCACTCGAATCAACAGCGCTTCTTCCCCCCTTATTTAAGGGGTTATATTCATATCTCAAACCTTACAGTGATGCACATCAGATATGTGTTTTGTCTTCTCACTTCTTAGCACTAGGCGTATTTGTTATTCTTTCTGGAATAATGAAGCTGTCTTTTTGTTCTTTTTGTCAGTTCCAAACCGACTAGCATTCATAGAGCACTTGATATGGCAGTTCATAATTGTATTCATTTATTCTTAGTGGTGATGTACTCAAGTCCATGAGGCTATAATTGGTTTGCGGCTTAATTCGTGGCTGTATATTGAATTATCATTTACTTTGACTTCTAATCCAGGGCCCTTATCTGGACAAAACGAAAACTCACTTGCAAAGGGAGCTAGGGGACGACAATGTTTTAATGGTGAAATTTGGCGAAGAAATAAAGGGAAACTCCTGTCTTGCTTCACGTCGCCCTTACTATGCTGGCTACAGTAGCATAGCTAGAGAAGGCATTGTAGTTGGTTTACGCCGATATCACTTCTTTGGTGAGACTTTTCTGAACTCTTTGCATTCCAATTTTTTAATGTCCAGATAAACTCATGTTATTGTTAGTTAAGGGATCATTATCATTAGTTCAAACTTCAAACTGGACACGCTAATGCTGATTTTTCTATTTAATCTTTGTTCTTTTTCTCGCACTAGGTTTGGAATCCTTTACGACATCTTTCTTTCTATCTTTCTGTCCCCTGTCCCTGAATGGTGGAGACACCTCATACTCATTCCTTGATTTTTGTCAGGCTTATGGCACTTATTACTTGTATAATGACGTATTCAATGACGCCCATATGCACATGCCTAACCTTCTCATCTTGTTCATCTATACAATCTCTCATTTTTCTCTTCATCTTTGCTCTTGATTCTTCTAGGATTCACAAAAACATGTGCATAAATTCATGTGGGAATATTCTTGTACTAATAGGATTCACCCATGTCTGTGTTCAATTATATGTTTGAAAATTTCAATGTTTTCTAGGATTTTTTTTTGGTTAGCTACAGTTATGAGAATGGGATAAAAAATCAGCTTTTCACCTTAGGAAACTAAAATCTTGGCTATTTCTTACTTATATTCAAGATGGTCATTCTTCTTACAGCTTCATCTTATTAGATTCTGCTATACTATTTTTTTTTTTCTAACTATTAATCCGTTTTGAATCCTGGCAATGTTAACAACCATTTTGATCAATCTCATTATGATTTGGTCAGTTTTTAAAGATGGCGGAAAGGAAGATGGCGTTAAGTGTTTTTTTGTTCGCACCCATTCAGATGCACTCGTTGATCAGAATGCACCATATAAATTATCTAATATATCAATTTCTGAAGCAAGACATCTGTTTATGCATGCACACACAGTCTCTACTGTAGCTAAGTATATGGCTAGGTACGTTTTGACATGAAAGATTTCTTTTCAAATGCAGTTTTTATACAGTTTTCATCGATCATTTACTTGTACTATCCTTCTTGTAAGTTCAGGTTGTCACTAATTTTGTCCAATACATTTTGCCTCCTGAATACTGATAAACTATCTTCTGTGCAAATGAAGATAATTGATGATATATATTGCATGGTATGATCTTCTAATTTATTCCTATGTAGTGCTGCTTAATTATGATGTATTCTAGTTAATACTTTTTTTGAAGTTGCAGAATGAACGTGGTGATCCTATCTGTAAAGACGGAAAACTTCTTATTCATACAGACGGGACTGGATATATATCAGAGGATTTGGCTCGTTTATGTCCCAACATTGTACACGGAGGGATTTGCATCAATGATAAGGATATTGAGGTTTTCACTTTTAGATTTTACCCTTTCTTTTTAGCAAGCATGTGGTGCTATGAGATGATATCAGAAGTTTATTTTTGGAGTTCTTGCAAATTTCTGGGCTCTACATAGTGCCTGTATTAAGACCTAATATTAATGTTAACCAATGTTGTTAGAAATGAGAAGGTACATAACATAAATGATTGCCATATTTAGTCTATTAAAATTTATAAGACATGCAATTAACAACAGAACTTCATAGTGAGTAAATGTTGAAAATACATGTTGAGGTTTTTTTTTTTTTTTTTAGCTCGTTTGGAAGGTATACTCAAACCATGCTTCTTGATTCTGATGTTTGAAATTTAAATTTTTTGTGAGAGAAAAATACCGTAGCAGAATCAATGATTTGAGTTTGAGTATACGAAACAAGCCCCACCCCCCCCCCCCCCCCCCCACCCCCCCCCCCCCCCCCCAAAAGATGTTTTTAGTTTGCAATTAGTTTAAGCTATAAAACACACAGCATCATCTTACATCTTATGCTCCTAATCTGTTGTTTTGAGCCTCCTCCGGTAGTGATTTCATCTACTTCGTGAATTTTCCTGAAACTGATTAATAGTATTTTCCATCCAGCTAATGTTAATCTGATCAGACTGAGTACGAGAGCTTTTTCATTCTCGTATCGTCTTCATATCTTTAAATTTTTATTTTCATACGTGTGTACGTAATGACTATCTTTGGTTTTGACTTACTCTTTTATTTACGATGCTAGATGATTCATAATCATGATGGGCATGTGGACAATGTTGAGGAGCACGAATGGCTAGGAATTAAGACGCAAGAACCAGTATGCAGCTAAAGCTCTGGCCATTACTTCTCTCTTCTCCTCTTACACGCACACACATACAATTTTCCTTTTCTGAAGTACTATTGACTAACATAAGTTCATTTTTGCTCGTACGTTTCATTTAATATTTTACACCGCTTCTCTGTAGCCTATATTGATACAATCCCGTCTGTTTAACAAAGGCTATGCAATTAAAGGAACATTTCTTGTGGACAAGAGGGTATGTATTTTCTTTCCTCTCCGCCAATCATACGCTGTTAGTTGAAAACAAGGCCTCATTAGCTTGTCTATTGTATTGCTACATATTAGCTTCCATATAATTTGGATTGTCTCACACAATTATATATATACATATATATATATATATATATATATATTTGAGTGGACACACAATAACATTTGGTGGATGCTAAGTTCGAACATTTCAAGTAGCCCAACCTAATTGGGGTCCATAGAGAATCCTTAGTTCACAATTTATCATCCGTTGACTTTAGGTTGAGGTGATACTTGACCCCCGGCAAATGAATATTTGTAGTCTGCTTGGGAGTAGTTTCAGCATCATTGGTAGGGGTTTGTGCTTACATAGTCATGCAAAATGAGAAAAAGTTTTCTCCCCTATTTTCTTTTTTGTTTGAGACATTTCGTAATTATCTAATTTTTTCTGATATAAAGTCCTATCTCCTGTTCCAAATTTGTAGCTTGGCCCCAAAACAATCGAGGTTCGGCGTTCAATGGTTAAAGTTGAGCCTGACCCAGATCTGTTGGACAATCTTACACTGAATTCATTGGAAGTAGTTGGGACCAGGTATATCAAGCAAACTTTTATCTTTGAGGTGTATTTCATTTGTATGCTCCCTTCTTTTTATGAGAGTTGCCTATTATCTACCGTGTACCACATGGTGTATTTTCCTATTTTGGTTTATACACTGAGTTTGTCTGAAAACGTGTAGTGTGATTGAGGGGTAAACAAAAAACCTTTGTGCCCGTTTGTTTTCATTTTTCACGTTTTCTGAGGAAGAAAAATTGAAACGGGAAAGGAAAATGCGTTTCGAAGGATCCGTACCAAAACCAAAAATAAAAACGTTTTTGGATTTTTCCCAAAAACTAACTTTTTTCTGAAAACGGATTAAATCCGTTTTTATTTTCCTTTTTATTTTCTCCCTTCGTTCTTCTCTCTCTTCTCCGACTGCCCACCCC